AATCCCCTGAGCTCTGAGAGATCTCCACAGGATGTTTTTCTTATTGTCACCACTAAACTATTTTCTGATTTAGAAATACTTTTTCTTCTGTATATTTTTATATCTCTAAGGTAATGTGGCTAAATGTAATGTGAGCACAACACAGGATAGTGAAGTAAATTGGCTAACATTTAAACGGCTCTCCCCAACAAATGGACTTTTATAACAAAATGTTTTAAAATGATTTCTAAATAGTACCAGATATATGCCCAGCCCTGAGAAATGGAGGTTTCTCTAGGCTAGGATTCTCCCATACTTGTCCTTTTACCTGTACTGCACAAATCCTTCTCCCAATTTCCTCTTCTTTTTGAAATACACAAATTTGGAGCTGGCGTTTGCATTGTCATGTTTTGAATGGCAGTTCTATCACCCAATCATCCCAACTTGTGAAATTAATCTTTTACATTTTTCTTATGCTGCCAAATCTTTAGGTAACTACTCTTTCAGGGAGAATGACTAATTGTACAGTTGTTTCTGTGGTTTATCTCTATGAAGCTGCTTTTAGAGATGCTTCAACCTGATCATTTTTTGAAGGTGACTCTCCAGAAGAAAAAAAACCACTTGAATGTAATAATAGGATTCTTGAATGTAATAATAGGATTCTTGAATTTAATAGTAGGATTTTTGTAAAATCCTGAGTTGATTTTATGTATTATCCAAGCCAATACAATATTCTTAATGTTATTCATGGACATTACATAATACATGCTCTACTTCTATCATTAAGACTTCTGAAAATAATAATTTGTGAATGTCACACTAAAGCACTTCAGTCCTTCATAAAGGGACTATTTCCAGGCCAAGAGAGTTAAATTGGATTCATGCTGGCTTTCAAAATATTTAGTGTTATCCTGAATTAACTTAAAACCTCAATTAATGGTTAATATACTTTTTTAAAGGCTCCTGTTTGGATGAAAACCCTTGAAGGAGACCTGTTTAATAATCTGCAACAGTCTTTTTCACCATCATGCCTGCTAAATGTGATTGAGAATACCATGCCCAGTGCAGCAACAGAAAACTCTTTTCCAACCCATCCCCTGGTTATCAATAACGTGGGAACAGGACACCAAAAGCACATTAAGGTAATCGGATTTGAATTCAATTTTCTATATTCATATCATACAATGTCCTAATTACCAGTTTTTTCCTTGGATTATGTGTCTATCTCAATGAAGTATTTATACAACAGTAGGTTCTCAAGATCTAAGTTAGCCCACTGATTTGAGCTTTTGTTCTAGAAGCCACATGGATGCTTTGGGATACTTGTGAGCTGGACACAAAGTGTAGTTATTCCTTGTTCCTTATCTTCCATGTGCCAGTGAATTTGGAGGTACCATTCAGCTCCTGGATCCAACTGACTGATCTACTCCCTGTCAGTCAGTCAATAGAGGTAGTCCTTGATTTACAACAGTTCATTTAGTGACCAAAGTTACAGCACTGAAAAAAGTGGCTTATGACCATTTTCCACACTTATGACCAAGCATCCCCATGCTCATGTAATTTACATTTGGATGCTTGGACAGCTAGTTCATATTTATGACGGTTGCAATATCCTGGGGTCATGTGATCACCTTTTGCGATCTTCTGACAAGCAAAGACAATTGGGAAGCCAGATTCACTTAATGACCATGTTACTGACTTAACTTTAGTGATTCACCTAACAAATGTGGCAGGAAAAGTCGTAAAATGGAGCAAAACTCACTTAACAAATTTCTCACTTAACAACATAAACTTTGGGCTCAGTCGTGGTCATTAAGTTGAGGACTACCTGTACTGACTTACCAATACTGTCAAAACAAGTATTAAAGGGGGAAAGGAAAATGCTGAGTCAATATGATAGTCCTGTGATCAGAATTTTTAAGTTCCGTGTAATGTCAGACTTTCTTCTTCTTTCTTCGCAACTCATTTTTGAAATGCTATTTTTGCCAAATGAAGCGATTTCAAAGCTACCACATTTTTTAAGTTGGCCCAATATAAATTTTTAACCTGATAAATGGAGTTATCTTCTATCTCTGTGAGCTATTGGATGAGGGGAGAGTACAGCATTCCATGAAGGGAAAGAGAGGAGGAGAGGGAGAGAGAAAGAAAGAATGCCTTTTTCAAATACCAATCACATCTGTTGTATATGAACATTTTTATTGATCCATTATACAACTGTTTAGAAATGATTTCTTCACTTCTTGGCTGTAGGAAATGGTGAAAGATTCCTTTTTATTCCTGTTCCAATATCAATTTTGGACTGCTTCTTTATATAGACTGATGCCTTTTTTTTAGCAGCATATCATCTTTTATTCTGTACTTTTAATATGTTTCAACAGTGCTTTTTTTGTATATAAAAAAAAAGGTGCCGGAACTCACACACGTCATACAACCCGCCTTGCCTACCCTACAAGGTTCCATCCAAAAAAGGTGTGGGAACTCCGTTCTGGGCGTTCTATGACAAAAAAGCCCTGTGTTTCAACCCCTCTGTTCCAGTTATGTAGTCTATTTGTCTTAAACCCAAATCATCTTTCTTATACTTTCTTTATGGCTTCTTAGGTGCAACAACACAAAACAGATGTGATCTATATCTGAAGCACTTTAAACAGAATGATCAGTTATCCAACTCAAGTTATCCATCCAAAGATTTCTAGACTACTTTCATATTCTGGAAAAAATGCAGCTCCTGCTTGAAGCATAAGAATGGAAACATTCCTTTTTGATTCCTAGGAAGTGGTGCTCATATTCTGATATAGAAATAGGCAATACTAGCCAACCAGAGATCTAAGTCTGCAAGTCTAATACACCTTGCTATATTTAATATATTGTCTTGAAAGTAATTGAACATTTCTATTGGGTTACCTGAAGATTTGTCATGCCAATGTAAGTTTGTAAGAAGAATCTTAAGAAATTCAAACAGATCTAGTCTGTTCCCAAAATTAGCAATTCTATTAAGTTACTTGGGAGTTAAGAACTGAGTTGTATATTCATTTAAGAATGATAAACAAGTTGATGTTAAATTTCATTAAAAGCAATGGGATATCACAATTAACTAGATTAAGGGCCTGTACATTTAGAATTTTTCATAAAATTGAAAATGTAAATTTATGATTGTGAATATTTTTATTTTTGTAAAGTGTTCTACAACTATTATTTTCATGTTTTTCTATGATTAAAGGACAAATTTTAAGTGCACAAATCTGTTTATTAAAATAGAAGCAGTGGGCATGCTATATATGTCCTTAAGCTAAAACTGCTTGTGCTTGTTTCACAAAATTCTTTTGCTGGAAATTCACATACTGTATGCTCAAATGTAAACATATTTATTGTTCTGGCATATAAAGAACTGCAGCCAATTTTAATTATTACAACAGGAGTTCCTTCTGAGAAAACAAACTTAGGAGTGTGCTGTTATTTAACGTAACTCATCTTATGATGAATAAGGCTCTATTTTTATTTTTACAAAAAAATGAGTTTGGAATAAGAAATAAGTAACGGTAACAATAAGTTTATTTTAATGTCAGTATCTAAATAAAAAGTCTGTTTTATATTTCTTAAAATTCAAAGCAACATAATCTTTCATCAAAAATTTTATTCTCTTCCTGTGAGAAATGAAATGGCAGGAAAATAAGCCAATTAATAAGGCTAGAAATAGGTTTAGTTTACCTTACAAGCCAGCCTAAACAGAAGAATGCTGTTGAAGCTTTCTTGGCACTGGTGTTCTTCAATTACTTGATTCCAGTTGACATGTCAACTGGCTGTTTCTGATCACAGCTTGGTCATGTTTTTTTCTTACAGCAGCCATGCTTTCTTGCAATATTACACACATAAAAAGCTTCAAATGGCTAGACAGAAAACAAGTCATTTAACATTCAACAGAGCTGTCATTTCTACTATGTAAGTTTGTAGTACCTGACCTCCAGGAGAATAAAGCCAACTTCTAAATAGAATGCATTTGGTACATGCTTTGTGAGCTGACTCATTGAAATAACACTTGCTTTCACTTTTTCAGTTCATCCTCTGCTCCTAGGTTAGGTGAGAGGAGGGTTATTTTACTGGGAGTATATTAGCAGCTGTCAAGCAACCTTATATAATTTCCCCATCTATCCCCTCATCCAAATCATTGAAGCTGTTGAAGAGCACTGGGCCCAGAACAGCCCTGGGGCACCCCACTACACACTTCCATGTAGATACAGTTCCATTGAGGACCACATGCTGAGTATGGCTGGTCAGCCAGCTACGAATCCATCTGTCTAATCCACATTTTTCTATCTTATCTAGTAGTACTGTAGGTTGTAATCTATTTTATCAAATGCCTTACTGAAGTCCAAGTAAATTATATCCACAGCATTCCTCTGGTCCACTAATTTTGTCACCTGGTCAAAGAACCAGTAAGATTTGTCTGACATGATCTGTTTTTGACAAACCCATGTTGGCTTTTGGTAATGCCTTTGTTTGCGTCTAGGTGTTTGCTGATTCATTGTTTATCTTTTCCAGAATCTTCCCAAGTACTGAGGTCAGGCCAATAAGTCTGTAGTTTCCTGGATCTATTTTTCCCCCTTTTTTTGAAGATAGGAATTACATCAGCTCTTTTCCAGTCCTCTAGTAGTTCCCCAGTGCTCCAGGATCTTTGAAAGATATAGTTCAGTGGTTCTGAGATCACATCTGCCAGTTCCTTAAGAACCTTGGGATGATCCTGGTGATTTGAACTCGTCTAGGTAGACAGGTGCTCACTTACCATTTTCTTGCCTATCTTAACTTGTGTTTCTTTTTTTTACAGTATTGTTTTTTTATAGGTTAAACTTTTTTCCCTTTGTGTAAAGATATAGAGTCTGGCAGATACATTTTTCGTCTTCCTTCTCCCTCATCATTTGCTAATATATAGCAGAGTCATCAAGAAACACAACTTTATGTATCCATGCCACATAAGTGAGGCTACAGGATATTAGAGAGCTTATCACCAAAAAAAAAAAAGTCTGGAGGAAGAAGAAGAAGCAGTAAAATTTATTCATATAAAGAAACTTTGTGAGTAGAAGACCTTGACGTTCTTGTTAGTCATGTAGTTGAAAAAATTAAATCACTGACACAAAACTACTGAACTTTGTGGGTTGGAGATTAGGATAATAGCTAGAAGGTGCTTATTGTTAAAAAAAAAAAAAAAAGTCCAGGAAAGGCATCATGGAAACATCTCCTCACCTATGCTTTTGGTATCTTCCTTGGCATATTAATGACAGCTTATAAACTGTAATTGATTTAAGTTATTAGAGAACTCATTTTAAAAATCTAAGAATTTCCAAACTTAAGTTTGACATTCTATAATAGAAATGATTGTGATGTTATACATCAATATTTATAATATATATGAGAATTTTAAAGTGTCTGAGGAAGTAAAAAGTGCAGCTTTCCTCAAAGAATCCTCTTATAGTTTGCACTATGAATTCCAAGGATTATAAGAAAATGACAAATATCTGGCAATGCATGTTTTGTTCTTTTTGACAGCAGCCCTATTAGTTTATTCATAAGACATCAAACTCACTTTAGAGTTTTGTGTCAACAATGAACTGATCTCTGTTCTTTTGGCTTACTCTTAAATATTAAATTAGTATAACAAATAATAATACTAAAATATCACTGGAGCCAAACTAATTATTTTACTTGGATTTAAAGGTTATAACAAATGTTTTCTAAATTAAGTTATTGTAATTTTCTTTCAAAATAAATTTTCCAACAACTTCTGGTTTCAGTGTCAAGTCAGTATTTTTAATATTTTGCCTGGAGTAAATAATGGGTTCAAACCCAATAAATTCCAAGACTGATTTTGGAAAGATGGCCACTGAACTCTTCTGGTGACTTGTAAATCACCATCCACAGAATTGGGCTATTCTATAACTAGGACAATATTATACTTGTGCAGTCACATCATTCAAAGCAACCAATGGCTGTTTTACAAATCCTGCTGGTAAATCAAGACATTGCTTGATTTGAGGAAACGAGCTAATTCTGCAGTCAATTCCTTCCTTGAAGCCTCCTGCTTTTAAGGAAAGGCATTTTGGCACTTAACATAAAATTGTCACTTTGCAGTTACTCTCAAACAAGCAATATAGGAGTAAACTCAGTGTAAAATCCCTTTGTTATCAGGTAATCTAAGAGCTAAGTGTGTTTATAAGGTACCTTTAGTTGATACCAACTGTCAAAGCTTGGGAAAGGGACAGAGGATTAGTAATAACTATATAAAACCTAAAATGGAAAAGAGCAATGTCAACCCTCAATGAGGCAACTCTAGGATGCCTTTTAATACCGTCTTTGCACAGTTAACAGCAACAGGCACCCAATTATTCCAGGCGTTCATCACCTTCTTCCACATCTTTTAGGCTGAGAACTTCAAGGGTTCCTTTGCCTTTGGTTTCACACCTGATCAATTCATCAATCTCCCGGAAGCAGCCTGGATCCACAAGGCACACCTGCAACATTAGCACTACATGAGACTGGAAAGGCCACGTCTTACGAAGAACTGCCCTGGTGAATAAAACTAAGTGGTTGCTGGTTCTATCTGTAGTTACTAAACAACAACTACTTGCATATTATACAAATTTCTTTGTTTTGAATTTCTTGCTAATTAGTCTCAGGTCACTTCAAGGTTTTGCAATGTGACAATTAGATTATTTCTCACTCTTTTCACCATTCCATGGCTAATTTCATAAAGCTGTTGTGCCCCCCACAAAAAAGTGTTATAATCCCTTGGGTATTTTGATTTGCCCCTTTTAGAAATTTTACCAGCTTCAGGGTATTTTTTAAATGGAATGGAGAAAGAACACTAAATTGGACTGGAATGTCTATATATTACACTTCTATCCAATTATGTTAAAAAACCAAAGACTGCAATTCACTGAAAATTGCCACATTCTCTTGAATTAGAAGAAAAAAGAAGTGCTGATGTGTCACAATGGAATCTTTGCAGCATCCCTATCTTTTGCTCATTTACCATACTGCCTTACTGCTGCATGCTTATCCCAATGAATTTTGAAACATCTTCTGCAAGAACCAATGAGGTTTCCTTCACAAGCAATCATGCAAAGGACTGCAGTGTAAATATCAGTCCTTATATCTATACTCCAACACTTCTACAAAACCAAAGGCACAGTACTAAGCTTTTTCCTAAACAAAAGACTGGGGAAAGGACACTCTGCTGCTTACAATTTCCAGCTGCTCATCAAAATCCTCATTTTCGATTACTTTGATCAGTGGTTTCAACTTCTCTTTCAATCTCTTGCCTTCTTTCCGAGGGAGGAGGAAGCGTAACCTCATGTGTGCCCGCTCAATCTGCATCGTCTCTTTCAGCTGCTTGATGACTTCCAAAGCCTGCAGAGGAATCGAAACCAAAGCACTGATTTTTACATCTTTATCCCGCTCCCCTTGAAAAAAAAAACCCTGGAAAAACTTAAGTCTCTTCGCTTCTGATTCCATACTTTTAGCCATATATGAGATTTGTTCCGCTGAGCATATTTTTATACCCAAGACTAAACAGCAGGGCAATCTTCCATCCAGTCAAATAGAGCTGGTGGGAAGAACCTCTTGTGTTTCCTGCAGAACTGCATTGCAAGCATGAGAAGTGGAGCAGTGCAAACTCATTAATTTTTAATAGATTAATACAGCAAGAATTGCTATAATTCATTCTACCTGGAGCTGCTCTTGAAGATCATTCAGAAACTTCTGGTGGTCCAAAATGTTGTAGCTTGCTTACTTACTTAGCAGTTGTGGTGCAGCCACGTTACACTGTTGCTACTGGAGTTGTACTGGTTACCAGTTTGTTTCCAAGTGCAATTCAAAGTGCTGGACATTCTCTATAAAGCTCTATATGGTCTGCAGCCTACATCTGCTTTTCTTAGATTCTGCCTAGGGAAAGCAAATGACCAGGGAATACCTGCTGATGATCTCCTCCAATTGTGAGATGGGGAGCATTCTTCTTTTGCACCAACCTGACTTGTGAGGCAAGAGTGGACTCTATTCTTATGTCCTTCTAAAAGCTAGGAAGAGCTTGTCTTTTAAAAAAAGAAATATGGATAACAAATTGTTGGTGGAATCATTGATGCCAGAATATTATGGTATTTTATATTACTTTGTCATGTTTTAGAATAGTTTTAAATAATGCCTCCAAATATGAGCCCACTTGGCTTTAATCACTATCATGAGACAAGCGAAACATGTTGGAAACAGATAATCATCTTTCTTGCAATGATTTCAACTTTATGAAATTCCCTTCCCACTGACACCCAAAGAGGCCTAACCTACTATCTTGACAGCCGTATCTGACAAAGGATAGCAATACAGTTTTGATTTTCAGATGTTGCAGGACTATTACTGTTTTCTGTGCAGTTTCTCCACTGTACCTAAGTGATTTTACTTTTTTGTAAATAAAGACTTAGTTTGTATGATGGAAATGTTAATATTTTCCAGAATAACAGTATCTTCCGGATTTAAAAATGCCAAGTTTGAAAATATCCAGCCATACAATGATTGGCACAGTACTGCATTAAAAAGAGACACTGCGAGAAATTCTACAAGATCCAATGTACAACTAATGTTACCAATCTACAGGTTTAACTATCCTTCAGGTATCTGCAGAAGAAAAAAAGAAGCAACTTTAAAAAAAATCATCTTGCCTGTTTACTTGGTGACAAGTCAACTCAAACCAGATGTTCAGGTTACTTCAAATTAGTACACTTAGCCCTCAATGTATGATTGCAATTGGGACTGGATTTCTGGGCATTAAGTCATCTTGGTCCTAAATCATGTACCCATCTAGCCTGTTATCAAGTGCCTGAAATGTAATTGCATGATCATATATGCGTATGGGGGGCACATTTTACGATGGCCAGAAGTACTTTAAGGCTGTAAAACACCCATTCCAAGCCTGTCCTAATTTTGAATTGTCATTGTTTGAACTGTCATTAAGTGACCAATCAAAAGTTGAGGACTGCCTGTAAAGATAAAAGCTACAGTGTCTTTACATGCCTATAATTTGTAGGCATCTACCTGCTGCTTGGTACTTTTCCCAGGCTTGACTGAATAATGTATATCCTTCATAGCTCTTTCAATAAGGATGACTGTGTAGGGTCTCTTGGTTTCTGGATTTACACATTTGTCTGCAACAATGGTTGCTATGTCACGAAACATCTGCTCCAATTGAGTGTGGCGTTCTTTATCAGAGACTTGCAATTCCCCTTTGGATAAGATCTGAAACAAAGAAAAGTTTATTTGGACTTGGGGTTTCTCAAATTCAGAAGGTGTATCATGCACTGTCATCAGAACTCTGATTCAGCTTTCAAGACTGTTTATGAACCTTAGAAGAATCGCTGTCCTAAAAAATATCTGCAAATTACAAAGTAGAAATAATGACTTCCTCATATCGAGTCTGACCCTTGGTTATTACATGGAGGTGTCTGTATAGTTTTGGGGGCAGTAATACAGAAGACCTTGGGCCAGTCATTTTCTTTCAGCCCTAGGAAGGAGACAATGACAACCTGCAAGGACCTGTCCAGGCTTTTCATTCTTTCAGGATTTTGTCTCCCCAGTCTACTCTACCCAATCAGAAAGTTCCTGATACTCTCCCATCCAAGTACTAAGCATTTACTCTGTTAACTTTTGGCAGTGATCTAAGGCTAAGTAAGCATTAGCTATTAACAATAAATATAAAATGAGCATTAATTGTTAACCATAAGAGCTGCTTTCCAGATGGGTGGCAAACAATTTAATTAATATCAACAAGGCTATGGAAGACTGAATTTTAAAATCAGAGCATAAACTGCATATTATTTCAACCTTCTCACAGAACAAGTAATATGTGATGAAGCCATGGAAAAAAAATTTTTTTTGCTCAAGTTCAAATTTCTGAAATATTTAAAAGAGAGTCAGTGTAGTATAGCATTGGATTAGGACTGAAGAGCCAGATGAAGTCCATTCTCAGCTATGAAAACTCCCAGGATGATTTTGGGTCAGATCTTATTATACTTCAGCCCAAATGACCTTAAATAGCTCAGTGGTCTCAAGTACCCTAAACACTGACCCCAAGCTGACCTAAACACATAAAGGGATTATCCTTCTACTATCTGATATATTGTTTGAATTGCCTTAAAATGTTAAAAGAGAGATAAAATGAGACAAAAAACATTATTTTTTTTTGCATAATTTCAGTACCTACCGTTTTGCAAATTTCCGTCTGATCATCTGTGCCAAAAGCTTTGACGAGATCTTCCTTCTTTGCCACTTGACCTTTGGAGACATTCACAAACACTGTATGTGTCTGCAATACTTCATCAAGGTCCTTTTCACTAGAAAATTAATTTTACCTGTTAAGCACATTCTAAATAATGCATGCCAACAATCAAAGTATTTTGATAGTCTTGTTTAACCCATGTTTAACCAATCAACTACTTTTGATTCTATTACTATGGCAGGGCAATCAGATTAAACTGCTACATTCCATAAGCAGAATACTGTAGTGAATAATTGCATAGTTCTATCTGAACTGGCAATGACATATTGTCAAGCAACAAGCTTGTAATTTGGTTAAAAATATATAAATAATTAGGAAACACCTTAATCAGCTAAAACATAAAGCAATACTAGTCCAAAGGCAAAGTCCTATCTGCTATTTATCAGTAAACAGGTAGCTATCTAATAATATTGATTCAATAATTACTCAGTGGGGTTGTGCTCCCATTGAAAGAGATTGTAACTTGCAGCTCCTGTTCAACCAGCACGTAGAAGTTATGGCTTGAGTGGCTTTACCCAAATTTGGTTAGTGCTGCAGCTTCAACACTACTTAAACCAAAATGCCTGAAGACATGTCCTGATCATTGGGCTACATGGAACTGCCCTTGGGAATGAATTCAAAGCTGCAAATTGTGAGACTACTTTGTCAGTATACTATAAGATCACCCTCATCCTCACCCAAGCTACAGATTGCATCACTGTACTGGTTGCTAGTTGCCATTCTAACCACTGAGTTGTGGTGGTGCAATGGTTAGAATGAAATATTGCAGGCTAACTCTGCTGACTGCCAGCAGTTTGATCCAGACTAGCTCAAGGTTGACTCAGGCTTCCATCCTTCCAGGTTGGTAAAATGAGGACCTAAACTGTTGGGGGCAATATGCTGACTCTGTAAACTGTTTAGAGAGGGCTGTAAAGCACTGTGAAGTGGTATATAAGTCTAAGTGCTATTGCTATTGTTATTCCAGATCTAATTCAAAATGTTGGTTATTTCCAGGCAATGACTTTTCATGGGCAGCTATACAAATTGAATACTTACCTCAGTGATGTTATTCTATACTACACCCTTCTGACTTATTTGATTATTCTTTATCATACTACTCTGTATTTGTTATTTCAGAATTGTGGTTAATAGACAATACTTAAGTAAACATGAATACAGAAGTGTAAATACTGTAGGTGATTTATAACAGCAGTTGAACCACACAGTTCAGAGTTTAAGCCCTGCAATTTGCACATGCTTTAAAAGTAAATGAATTTTAAGCCAGAATTGCAAAAATTGAAAAATTCAACCCTGGATTTATTGATTGATTATTTATTTAGGCTAGTCTTGCACTCTGCGTAAACTCAGAAACACTGGCTTTGTCAAATGTCAGGAGTTTTCTGTTCCTCTCCCTGCGGCCCAAGCCCTCAACTCACGCGCCGCTCCGCCAGCCCATGACTTTGTTCCGGTAACAGGCAATCTCAAAACGCTTCCCCGCCCGTCGAATCCGCACGACAGCCACATTGGTCAGGCGAATCTGGTTAGTCGGCGTAAAGATCGCCATGATACGCCAGTATCGGCCTCCGCTAGACAGAACACAAGCCAACAGCTGAGCCTCTTCCGCCCCTCCGTTGTGACGACACACGGGTCAAAACCTCGCGAGAACCGGCTCTCCAAAAGTCCGTCTTTAACTCACTCGGGTGGGAAACCAATCCCGAAGACTAATGGTTCCTCGTTTAAAAGTGACCTCTTGCGAGTGAGAAGGCTTAATTAAGAGGGACCCCATCAAAAACAAAAACAAAAACCGAGGTTTAAAGATCTGACTCCTTTTTTGCGGAGGTTTGATCAAAAATGCAAGTAGCACTTTAAAAAAAAAATAGCCAGTAGGTATCTTAGGAAGGACTGTCTTCAAATCCTTGAACAGATGATCTTGGACTTGTCACTGTGCAGGTTCATATAATCGTATTTAAACATCGTTTGTTTAAATTGTGCAGGATCCAGTCTTGCATCTGTCACCGGGAATAGAGGTTTAGTCTTCCTGCCAGAGGCACAAAGTCTAGAAAAAAAGAAATTCCCTGAGGATGAACTCCAGCTCGGAAGACTAAACCTCTGGTCCCGGTGACCGACCCAGATTGGCTCCTGCAACATTATCCTGGGACACGTATATTCGCCTTCATTCGAGTTTAAATTGTTTTAATATACTAACCGGTTGTGGTTTATTCATACCACACAGACCGAGAAGGCTCTTTAATCACTACAGTGGATGGTTGATTGGCATAACGAACCAACCATGCCTTTAAAACAAACCATGGCTCAATGTCTCCCCCTAGTCCAACACGAAGCATTTAGGATCCGCATTATTTAAATGCATGGATTTTCGATTCTCCTTTCAACCTCTCTGATACACTCGATTCTGGAAGATGCTTCTCTATTTCTTGATTAAAAGCATGCACACTTTGGAAGGAGAGCGTTTTGTAGCGATCGCTAGTGCTGGAGGGCGAACTTTATCTTCAGCCACTGAGAGGTTAATGTCCTCTTCCCAGCATGCCAGGGGTGGAAGGTGCAAAATGGCTGCGCCTGTGAGCTCGTGGGGCAAGTAATGGGGCTGCTTGGGAATGACCCCCTGCGGTCCCGAAAAACCCAGAAAAACATCGTCTGGTAGGATCGGGAATTGCGGCTTGGGAGGGAAGACATGGGTAAGTACTTGGAGGCGAAAAACCTTACTTCTTGGGAAGGAAGCCTTATTGGCTTAGATGCGGTTTAGTCTCCAGAAAGCATGCCAAGGTTTTTGACAAGCGACGGATTCTTAAACCTTTAGCATATTTATTTATTAACATGGAAGTCCTGTAGCCCGCCAAAGAATCAGGATCTAAAAAGTCACGAGTTTGTATCATTCCATAGAATACGAATACAGTTTTCTTGGAAGCTTCCTGTGCAAATAAATAGGACGATTTTATAAGGTTTACTTAAACATTACGTGAAATTTAAGAAAAAGTACATGGTGACACTTTTGCACAATTGTACACTCGTGATTGTATAGAACTTATATTCTCCATCTCTAATTTTATTGGCTCTAACTTGCTTAGGAAATAATAAGTTTGTAAAAAGTATATTTTTCTTACTCCTGTAATGGCTCTGGATGGCTTACAGAAGTACAATAAAAATAGCAGCCCAGGCATAACTAATAATACAAAGCACAAGAAAACAAAACTTTATGCTCAAACATTAGTACATTAAGGCAGAGCTTGCTTGAACTCTAGTGGCATTTTATTCCACATTATTTATGTATTCAATTTATATGGCTGCCTATATTAAATATATAAAAATATTATAACAAACCAATCAGCACAGTATGGATCCTATCCCCCCAAAAGCTGAATTCTGTTGATATTAAATATCTAGCAGGGCCCACAATGGATACACTGATAATTACTTAGGAAACAAAAATGAAAAACTCAAGAGGCAGTATGATTTAAGCCCTGATCTTTTGTATGTGCATTTGACATCAGTATACATATAAATAGTGGGGTTTTGACAAGCTGTAACCATCTTGCTTCTTTTGATCCCACTGAGGATATGACTTACAGAGGATAGATGGTGGGGAAAAAATCTGGGTAGAGTAAATGATTGCAAATGGAATATGAGCAAGCAACATAAGGTTGCTGACAGGAAGGCATATGCAATTTTAGGACTGCATCAACAGAAATTGAATTTCCAAATCATAGTAAATAATTGTTCCACTCTTTTCTGCTTTGGTCAGTTCTCTGCTCTAAATACTGTAAAAGGCTCTGGATATCACATGTTGAGAAGGATTCAGAGAATTTTGAGCAGATTCAGAGAAAGTCAAGAAAGATAATTAGGAGACTAGAAATTAAGTCCTGTAAAGAAACTGAAGGAATGACAATTGATGTTTCAGTACCATGTATCTGAGATACTTTAATTTGGCTTCTGAGTTGAGCATGTAGTTGGATTTAATATCTTTAATGGTCCCTGGCAAACAATATAGTTCTAAGATTATACAATGATTCTGCCACCTTTAATTTGGTCCAAAGCATGCTTACCAGAGAGCAGACCTCAATTTATCCTGATATCTGGCTTTTAATAATAGTAGCATTTTGTTCTGTTGTGTTTTAGATACTCCTGCAGACACCTGGGACAATTTCCATGCTCATTTAACTTTCCTGTGGCTGAACCGATTTTACCTCTATTCATGTGCAGCTTTTGGAATCAGCCTTTGGTTTTGCTTCCAGTTCCTCAACAAAGTCAAAGAGCAGGTAATTTTAATCTCACTGTGTCTAATATTTTCAATTCTGGGAACTTCAACCTTGATGGAAAGATGATGGAATCTCTAGTGGTGGCTTCCTGAGTGCTCGAGCAGTTGAGAGATTAAGAAACATTCAGTAGCAAAAAATATACCCCTCGCCATCTCAAAGGAGGTAAATTCTTTCCACCAAAACCATAGTACTATCTTCTGCAAGTTTATTCAGAAATTAAACTGTTTGAGGCAAACTACACAAGTATAGTTATAGTTCGTTTTTTCTCCAGGGAATGAAATCTATTTATAGTATATATGTTGTCCTCTCAGTATTAGTGGATGATATTTCCTGCCTGATTACTTAATTTCTCTTGTTCAGATAAAGGATGTAGTCCTCTATAAGAGAAAACTTTCTTAGACAAAACTGTCTTTCTCTCTAAGTTGTACATCATCTGCATTGAGGGGTAAAGTGACTAATGGCATCAGGAAACAAAGAGACTAAGTTTATTTCTGGGAATCTGTTGTTTAAATATTTCCTTTGTAGAACAAAAATCGCCTTGCAGAATTAAATCTTCCTAAAATCACAGCTGCTGAAAAAGAACAAGATCCAAGCCTTGACAAAGTCCATGTAGCCGGAGTGAAGGTATTCTATGGTTCCCAGACTGGAACAGCAAAGGTAAACAGTTCATTAATTCAGCAAGAGGTGAATTAATTTGTCTTGCAGCCATGTCTTTTTTTTCTTCTTTAGTTGAATAGAGGTAGTTGACCATTTTCAGGAGAAAAAAAGCACACTCATAGGTGTTTTTTGGTTTATTCTTATCTTCAGAGCTTGGCCATTTGTTGCTGGTCATACTGAATTTTATCTAATTGAGCCTTGAAAATCTGTTACTTATAAAGAAATAATTTTAATATGAGATTATTTGGGGGTGTAATAAAGTGGTGGTGATAGTGGAGAAAAGACATAAGAAAGGGAATTTAGGTGCTGTCCAATCTTTCCTTAAGTGGTGAGTAGTTATACTCAGCAACTGGATCAAAATTAGAGGCTTCTTGGCTGCTATGTTCATAATTCTTGCCAGGAAGTTGCAAGGGTCATATAGCCAGTTTATGTAGCATTTCAGGTATTAGATTTGTAGAACAGAGATTACGTTTCAAATCCTCATTCAGTACTAGTGCTGTCCAGATAATTTTCAGCCAAAACCTCTTTTTCAATCCAAGCTCACTGGGATTGTGATTGAGGAATAAGATAAAGTGCCCTTTTGGGCATTTGTAGCAGTTGTGCTGTATCAGAGAACAGTATCCTGAACTATTCAGCAAACCAGCATGGTGGTGCGCAGAGTTTTCAAGGTCCTATTAGATAGCCACATTTCTGCCTCTTTATAGCAAGAGTAAGAGGACAAAGGCTGCAGTATAAGATTAATAAGCAAAGTGTGTGTGTCTGATCATAGAGCAATGGAATTTGAAGGCTGTGGGTTGTGGAGAGATTGGTGTTTTGTTTTCATTGTGATAACTATTTTTAGAGGGTACACTATAGTCTTAGAATTTTTCCACTTGAAAGACATTATTGTTGATTTTTAATTAGAAGGAATTGCCCCCAAAGATATGAGAGGTTGCATATAGCAGGTTGCCCATCTCTACTTTTATGAGTTCCCACTCCAAGTCCTTCTGAGTCCAGTTCAGAGTGGAGATTTTTCCTTCTGGTCTAGATACATTAATTTTTATGTACGAGCATTTTCCAATCACAAGAGTTGCTGGAGTCCATCCATTTCAGTGCTTTCCACTGTCAAATACTGGAAGTAGTGTCTGAGGTTTTTGTCTTCTTGGGTTTTTCCTGATGCCTGCAGTTCCTAAATAGTGGTGGGGATTATGTGTGTGAGCTAGCTGCTGTTTCAGTGCTAAACCCTAGCATCTCCCTGCCTTGCACTCAAGAATTGCAAGAGATAAAGCTGAAGCAATTTTCTCCTTCATAGATCAAAGAATCACCTAGTGTGGCTTTCTTATATGAAACAGATCTTCACTGGGTTTTTTCTTTCTTTCTCTCTAGCGGTTTGCACTAGTACTTACTGAAGCTGTTGCCACCATTAATTTGCCAGCAGAAATTATTGATATGCAAGATTATGATCCAGATGACTCTCTCATAGATGAGGTTTGTATTTCATCTCTTCTAGCCGGAATGCCATCTGTGGGTTCTCATGGATTCATGGCACCTGCTTTAAGAGCAAGTAAAAACTATGGCCAGGAGAGCTGTGGGTGGTGCTTCAGCTGAGGCCTTGCTTGGAACTGGATGAACTGAGGAATGGGTGTTTAAGCCTTTATCATCTCTTTTTTTTGTTTGTTTTCAAGTCCATTTTGACTCCTGGCAATTGCCTGGACAAGTCCATGTAGTTTTCTTTGCAAAATTTTCAGAAATGATTTCCATTGCTTTCTTCTTAGGAAAATGACCAGCCCAAAGTCATCCTGCTGAGTTTGTGCCTAAGGTAGAATTAGAACTCTGAATCTCTTAGTTTTTAACCCAGTGCCTTTAACCAAACTGAGCTTCTCTGTTAGATTACCATACTCTATGTGAGGCTGCACCAAAATTTCATGTGATCCAGAAGGCATCAGCATACACACTCAGATTATTGATATACCTCTGCTGCAGGAGCTGTACCGTTACCAGTGGATTCCAAGTGCATTTTAAGGTGCTAGTCACTAAAGCTATATATGGCTCTGAGCTTGGGAACTGTTTTTCCATATTAGTTTCTGTCCATACTACCTGGACATAAGGGGAAGCCTGCTAAGAATCCCCATCTCCCAAGAAATACAGTGGTGGGCAATAGTGACATTTTTTCTATAGCAGTACCCTACCTTTGATATAATATGGCCTTGAAACAACAATTACCTTACAGTCTTCCAGGTGCAGGAGAAAAAATAGCTCTTTTAGAGCAGGAGTTCACAACCCCTGGGCTGCAGCCTGTTCAAAACTGGGTCATGGGGAAAATGGGCAAGTGCATACATGTGAAGCTCCATTTGCGTGAGTGGAGGGCACTCGCGCTCACACATGAAGCTCCGCTCGAGTGAGCGGAGGGCACTTGTGCTTATGTGAGTGGAGCTTTGCGCAAGAGCACAGTACCCTCTATTCAAGTGCCTTCGGCTCACGAGCAGAGCTTTGCACATGAGTGCAAGCACCCTCTGCTCATGCACAAAACTCAATTCTCACGAGTGGAAGGTGCGCACATGCTGCTTGCACAAATGGAGCTGTGCGTGTGCGTGCACTGCCACTTACACCACTCCTCCTCACCGGGCCTGGCCAGGCCGCCAAGCTGGAAAGATTGGGGACCGCTGTTCTGAAGGACCTTTTTGATTAACTGTATATAATAGTGTCATTTTCCATAGTTCTATAAATGTAGCCTTTTATCTGTAGTTGCCTTTTAAATTTTATTCTAAACTTGTATTTACTATGTAAATTCTGTAAATTGCCTAAACTATGGTTGATTTCAGATGGCAAATAAATTAGACAGACAGACAGAATCAATATCCTAATGGTTAACAACAATAACAAAATAACATTTTAATTGTTTGATTATGTTCTCAAGTGAGTATCAACTCATAGTGACCTGATAGACAGACCTTGTCATGCCTCCGTCAGAGCCTGACTCTGAGGAAGACATGGAGTTCCCTGTTGAGGCCCAGGAGGGGGTATCTGTGGCTTCAGAGGACTGTGGGGAGGAACAGGCTGAAGCAGGCCAGGGCCCTTCAAGTTTGGAACAGGGAAGGCAGAGCTCAGGCGAGGAGCAAGGCCCCCCCCACCAGATCCCAGAGCAAGGAGAGCAGAGAGAAGGAGGCAGGCTCACTTGCTCGGGAGGAGAGCGTCACACCCCACTCCACAGGGCATACCTGGGGAGTAGGTATTTAAGGAGACGCTGTGGGATGGGGCATTTGCCGGGAACAAATGTGAACTCTTGTGATTTGAGCTCTTGTACCTGGACTCTTTGTATTTTGGATCAAGTTTGTTTCCTGCTGAGTTCTCCTTGCTGTCCTCAGTTTTGCAGTTTGCAGGTTACAGGCAAGCTGAGTGTGGAAAAGATCATACTTTGTTATCTGTTTTACTTTAAAGAATTGTTTAACTCCATTGACTGTTTTATTGAACTTGTGCCAGCATATGTGGGGGCTGTTGGGTGAACATTGGCAGTGCTTACAAAGACAATTATTCTGACCAGCTAAGTGCTTCCCCTCCGTTCGGGGCCCTGGGTCATCACAGACCTTCTTCAGAATGGTCTTTCCCACATCAAATAGAATAATATCCCAAATAGTTATTTGGGGGGAATTTGAAGGGAGAAACCCTACAGAACATCTCCTTTGCATGAAAAATGTCATCCTAATAATATATTGAACAGTTAATAGTTTCATATCCTTTATTGGCATGCAGAATCTGAGGAGGAATGAATGAGAAGAATTCCTTTCCTCTGATGTTAGGACCAAGCTCTTCAAAGATGAGTTACTTTTAAATTTATCGACTAGCTGATGAGAGCTAAATAGCTTAAAATAGCTATACTAGTCTCCCTTTAATTCTTGATCGGTAAATTTAAATTTAACACACAAATAGCCTGTTGCAGAAGCGACTGCCTGTGAAAGCTCCTAGATTGGGGCTGAAAGGCAAAAGCGGAAGCAATATGCTCCGTCCCATATTTGGGTTAGACCAGATTGCCCTGATGGACCGGTCTCACCGGAAAACACTTAATGAGTTACTTTGAATGAAATTTTGGCATTTCTCTCTCTCTCTTTTTTTTTTTTACTATGAACGGTAAACAACAGTAATTGATTTAAATGTTATGACAGACAAAAAAAAAAAACCGTTTTCCTTTGGGGATTTGTTCAGATAAGCAGCCAGAATATCTGCGTGTTCTTAGTTGCCACTTACACTGACGGCAAACCCACAGAGAATGCTGCATGGTTCTGCAAGTGGCTGGAAGAGGCGGCCAATGACTTCAGAGTTGGCAAAGCATATCTGAAGGGCCTGCGATACGCTGTCTTTGGTTTGGGAAATTCAGTTTATGCCGACCACTTCAACACTGTGAGTATTGTTTTACTTTTCAAAAAGTAAATAAATCTGTGCATGTTATTGATATAGTTTGTTCTGAACTTACCACCACAGTGGAGCTCAGAATTGTAGTTGTAAGTCATTGTGGTCATAAGTCAAAGCACCATATGATCAGGGTCAATTTTACAACCATTTCTACAATGGTTATAAAGCAAATCAGGTGATATTTCAATATCTTCTCCTTTTCAACAAGTGATTATACAGTTGCTTATATGGAATTAGTGGAAAGCTATGAAATACAATAATGGAGCATGAATGTTATTTTCACTTTAAAAAACAGTTTCTACCACGTGGTGAAATTACAAGTTAGAGGAATGGCTGAAAAAAAGTTAGGTAGCCAGAAGCGTATTTTTTTCCACTACTCTGCCACTCTGACTATGTGATATCCAGTAGTGATTGTCTTAGATGTTGGATTAGTGGCATCTTTACATTTAACAGATAAGAAAATGTGTGTATTTTTTTTGATTCTCTAGTTACTTCCTCTAATACCTTTCCTGAGTCTGCTGTTTAATATGGAGGCTCTTTTTATTGGTTTGGAGACAAAAGGGGTGATGGAAGTGATACAACAGGAAGAAGGAAGGAGGTGGGGCAGACTCCTTTGAACTTGGAACTTTCCAAATATGCCCATTATGATTAGCATCGTTTGCCTTTTTAGGACCCAAACATTGCCTCTCTGGCTCTTGTTTTCTCTGCAGGTGAGCAGGAACATTGACAAGTGGCTGTGGATGCTGGGTGCTCAGCGCATTCTGTCATGTGCTAGAGGGGACAGCAATGTGGTGAAGAGCCAGCATGGAAGCATTGAGGCTGATTTTGAGGCTTGGAAGGCCAAGTTGCTCACGAGGGTTCAAGCTCTTGCCAAAGGGGACCAGAAGGCCTGTAGTGGGACATGCAAAAAAGGGCGATGTAGATCCAAACCAAAAGTGAGAGAAGAAGCAAAAGAGCCAGAGACCTCGAAACATGCGGAGAAAGAAGTAAGTGGAGCGGACTGATAGAACTCTATGATTTTGGCTCTGTTGCTTCTTTTATGTAATGAACCTCATCTATATATCAGTGGTGGCGAGCCTATGGCACAGGTGCCAGAGGCGGCACTCAGAGCCCTCTCTGTGGGCACGCGCACCGTTGCCCCAGTCCTAGGCCTTCAGCTAGCTTTTATAAAACCTTTTCACTGCAAAAAAAAAAAAAAAGGTTCAGTCAATTTCAACTTGTCGAAGGAAAAAAAAAAGATCTTGCAAAATTGGAATTGATTGATTGAACTTTTTAGTCCCACCCAGTCTGCCGTTACCACCGTAGCCACACCCACCCAATGGGCCATGCCCACCCAATGTGCCATGCCCACCCAATGGGCCACACCCACCCAATGGGCCACACCCGCCCGGCACTCGACGATGCATAAGTGGGTTTTGCACTCAGTCTCTAAAAGGTTCACCATCAATGATCTATATATATTACAGAACAGTCTTGGATCTTTTTTTACTCTTCTTTTGGGCAGCACACACTCATAACTCTGAGAATTTTCCCCACTTTTTTTTTTTTTTTCTGTTCAGGCTTCCTCCATTTCCTTTGTGCTCCAGCTTTTATCTTCTTCATTTACTTGTTCCAATATACCTATTTCTTATTCTTTTCTGTTTTTTACTACTGTAGAATCAAACATCCAGAAAAAATAAGGAATTATTTAAGTGATGATTCCAATCCTGCTCAATACAGGAATCTTGCTGAAAGAGTCTCTAACACATAATTGATGTTCTTCATACTCATTTTACCATCCTTTAAGACAGAAAACATTGTTTACCAACCATTGTGATTGATTCATGCAGTTTTCTAAGCCAAAAATCAGACAAACCACATTATGCCATAGAGATTCCTAAATATATATTTTTTAATTTTCTGAGTTTTATAGGTGTGATCCATGGAAGAGGTAGATTTTGAATCTGTCTCTTCCAGGCCTACTTCTTTATGAGTTGGATTATGCTGGCTGTTATTAGACAGACTTCTGACCAATTTTTGGAGAAGGCATCAAACAGCGTCAGTGCTGCACCTAAGGACAACTCAGTGGGTATCTTATTAACTAGAGAATGGAATAGATTGGAAACATGGCTTGTGCTTTCTCTTTCCTTGTTCTGCATGTTAGGAGGAGGATTTGTTTGAAACCACAAGTGAGGAGGAATCTGATATAGAGAATGGTAGAGGTGCAGATCAGGTTGTGGATGTTGAAGATTTGGGCAAAATGATGGGCCACATGAAGAAATCTCAGGTAAGGAGAATTTTGCCCTTAATCCAAAGACCTTTCTGCTTGCTCATGTATCCTTCGACTTATGACTATTCAGCCACCATTCAAAGTTACAACAGTGTTGAGTGAATGATGGTTATGACTGGTCTTCGGAGCTCCATATGAGTGTGATCTGGGTATTTGGCAACTGATTTGCAATTACAACCAATTGCAGTGCCCCATGATCATATGATTGCCATTTGCAACTTTCCCTGCTGGCTTCCACAGAAAGTCAGTGGGGAAGCCGGCAGGGAAAGTTGGAAGTTGCTGGGCAAAGTCTTCCCAGCTGTGCACTCTCTACCAACTCCCTTGCTCTTGCACCATACAGGGCACTTGCACCCTCCCCAAGCTTTGCCATGCCTCCCTCACTTCCTCCCCAACCCTTCCTGTGCCACCCATACATCTTCCCCAACTCTCTCTCACAGCCTCATGCACCCCTTCATGGCCTCCCCAGACTGGCAGCAGTTACCTACCTGTTGGCCTGTTTGCAAGCCATTTGGACTTGCAACTTTCTGCTGGTTTCCCCGCTGACTTGATTTTGGGAAGCTGGCAGGAAATCGTCTTGCTTATTAATGATAGGATTAACAATGGCCACTGGGACTGCGGAGATTGCCGTTGCTAAGCAATAGGGTTACGTTTTACAACTCATTGCTTAGCAACTGAAGTTCTGGTCCCAGTTGCTTGTAAGTTGAGGCTATTTCTATTTCTAGGGGGTATTTCTAGGGTACTACTACTACCACTACCCAAGCCTGCCCTATTGTTGCGCTGCTGTCTTCTGGCAGTGATAGCAGTAGAAGTCACACTTTGTTTTGCCGTTGAAAGTCTCCGTTTCTAGTACAATCCTAATTGTGAGCAGTCCATTGTAAAAATGCCATCCTACGAAGCTGGCCAAAGCTGTAGCAGTTTCATAGCATTTTAATGAAAGCATTTCTCCAACTGAAGAACAGGGAGCAGAACAATTCAGCTTCCTTTTAAAAAAAAAAATCTGTTCTTGCATAGAAAGAGCATCAAACTGACGGAGAGATTCCCATTGGAGTTGGAACTCAACATGGCAAAGGGGAGGATGGGAGAAGAGAGATGATCACACCTGCTCTTCGAGAGGCACTCACAAAGCAAGGTGATGGGGTTGCACTGCAGGGGCAACCTACATTGATTGTTATTATAATTAGTGTATTTATTGTAGCTATTATTGGTGTTTTAAATTCAGTCATTCAATTTTATTTACAGCCAAAAAGTCCAGGACAAGTTACAAACATAATTTAAACTTGGCATTAGATCAAATGGATATAACAAGTAATTTTTTTAAATAAATATTACATAATAGACTTAAGACCCCAGCTCATTGATTTGTTATTAAAAGCCTTGTTTTTAAAGTCATAGTTAAAAATCTGGCTGTTGCCACTGGAATGCTTAGGATTTTCATTTGCAAGTAAAGGTTTTCCATATTCAGAAGAATCTCTTCCTGGTTTAGATTTTAAAGTAGCTCAGATAACTTCTTCCCAAAACTTTTATAAAATTCACAATGAAGTAAAATATCATCCACTATTTTAGGGTTCCATTAAGGGGCAAAATCTTTGAGAGATGGGAATTTTTTAAAATCTACCATATAACATAATTGATGACAACCCATTGAATTCTGCTTTCAAAAAGGCTATTCTGTTTTCAAATATTCAGGTAATTCAAACATAATTCTCAATGTTGCAGGTGAACACAATTTAAATGTTTTAGATGATTGTTAGCTACTGGAGTTGTATGTTGAAATGGGTGGCCATGTAAGTCTTTTTAAAGATCGACAGACAGATTCGTGTAAGCAGGGGAAGGGGCACAACATTTGCAGATATATTCCATAATATTGCCCAGACTTATTTTCAAGCAAGCATTTATCTCTTTGTATGTTATGTTCAGAAATTGAACAGCTACAGGAACACAAGCTTGGATATTGCAAGAATTTGGGGAGTTGGTGTAGTGGTGCAGGTAGAGCTTATTATGAGGAAGCCTGAGGCTCGGGTTCCCACTTTCTATGAAGCTCATTGAATAACTTTGACTCTGAGGCTGTTCTTTAGTGGGGAACCACAACTGGCAGGACAAATTTCTGTGTATAATTAGGGAGCAGACTCCACACTCATTTGCACTGATGGTGTTATCTAGTCAGGTAATGACTCTGAGCTTGTTTTCTGCAAGCAAACAACAAGCTCAGACACTACAAAGGTCTCCATGGTTGAATCCTGAGCTACATATTTTCTATTGGAACTGTTCTTTCTCCTGGCCTATTTTGCAGGGCTGCTGTGAGGATGAAATGGTTGGGAGACCCATTCCTATGAATGAAACTAAATTAAAAATTCACTTTATTGCAGTATTTCTCAACCGTGCAAACTTTTAAGATGTGTGGACTTCAACTCCCAGAATTCCCCAGCCAGCATCAACACATTTTAAAGTTGCCAGGGTTAAGAAACACTGCTTTATTGTAAGAGTAGTCAGATGGAGACAGACCAATTAAATGACTAGGTTTATATTCTTTTGTTTGTTTGTTTTGTTTGTTTGTTTTTGTCTTCAAGTCAATCTTGACTCCTGACAACTATTTGGACAACTCCCTGCTGTTTTCTTGGCAGCTCATTTGGAAGTAATTGCCCTTTCCTTCTTCCTAGGGCTGAGAGAGACTGACTGATCCAAGGTCATTTAGTTGATTTTGTGCCTAAGACTGGGTTAGAGTTCATTCTCTCACTTTCTAACCCAATGCCTTCACCCCTACATCCAAATGGCTCTCTCATACAGCATGCTAAACCATACTTTTCTTGACCATAGTTTATTGAACTGAGCCACAAATCATGGTTTTCACAGTATTAAAAACAATATAATCACATAAATAGTCAAAACCAAATAAACTATCTTGTGCTTACTGGAGCTGACTTCGAAGAAAAGTGTTTGCTTGTATTTGATAGCCCATCAGGATCTTTATGGCCATTTCTTTTTGCTATAATATCATTCAAACTAAAACAAAAACCTCCTTTTTCATTCAGGTTATAGATTAATTGGGAGCCATTCTGGAGTGAAGCTTTGCCGATGGACAAAGGTGCTGCTTTTCTTTTCCAATCAATTTTTAAATTTATTTATTTATAAAATGTATTGGCCACCCATCTTACTATAGGGTAATTCTGGGCGGCTTACAGTTATAAAAATATATCTATACATGTACAATTAAAACATAAATAATTAAAATCAAACATTAACACCTAAGAAAACATGGGGGAGGGGGGCGGAGTGCAGAGAGGTAGGATCTGTCATTACTAGATCAACCACCTCTACTGTGCTGCTCCCCCACTGAGGTCCCAAGCTGACTGGCAGAACCAGGTCTTTAGGCCCTTATGAAAGGATAGGAGGGTTGGGACCAACCTCACATGGGGTGGGGGCAAGATGTTCCAGCAAGCAGGAGCAATAGCAGAGAGGGCCCTCGTGGACCCCGCCAACCGGAATAATTGGGCTGACGGGACCCGCAGCAGGCCTCCTCTGCCAGCACGAGTGGGATGGGTCAATCCCAGTGGAGTGAGACAGTCCCTCAAGTAACCTAATCATGATGGTAATAACAATAGTGTCTAATACAAAAAACATATAGGATTTTGTATAATAATAACAGGTCTCTCCCAATCTCACGCCCTCCAGATGAATTTGGAGGGCAACTAAAATAAGTGAATCTGGCTCCTCAGAGGCACAACTTCCCTATGGTGGGTTTTATATTCATCACAGTGTAACCGAAGAAAAGCTGAAAATGCTTTAAATAAATTAATGATAATAAAAAGAAAATGCAGAAATAAATTTATATTAATTATCACAATGTTCTCTCCTTTATAGTATTGAGATAGTTGTAGATTTTTAATTCAATTGAATTTATTAGATTTGTTATGTCCTCCCACTCCTGGATGATTTCATGATTTTATTTCACCCAGCCTTTCCTAATTAAGTGTTATTGGTGTGCATTGCGGTGCAATATCTATTGTTATTTTGTATATTTTTAATGCGTTTCAGTCCACCCATTGTCTTTTGAGGAGGAGGGGCCATAAAAACTGTAAAATAATAATAATAATTTGGTGATATGACTTTGCAGTTAGGAGGGCCTGCATTCAGCTTCTGTGGGATCCCTTCACTTTATTTAGTGATGGCTCCATATTGCAGAATACTTTTTTTCTCCAGTAGAGAACATACCATTTAACATTTAGTGCCAGCAAGAATTTATTTCTATTTTTAAATTTGGTTTATATTCTACCTTTCTTCTCATTCCAAAATGGCATGTAATATATTATAGTTTAAGAATAATTTAGGTTGGTAAAAATAAAATATGATGTATAAGGTAAATGCTTGTAATAGCAGCACCATCTTGAGACAACTGTTATTTATTTTGTTGTTGTTCACATTTGTCTGATAGTCAATGCTTCGTGGAAGAGGAGGCTGTTACAAGCACACCTTTTATGGCATTGAAAGCCACCGCTGTATGGAGACCACACCGAGTTTGGCTTGTGCTAATAAATGTGTCTTCTGTTGGAGGTAAAGATCTGGGACTGAATATTTTTTTTAGGAAAAATGTTAAAATGTTTGTACCTCCAAGTCAGTGTTGATTTTTGGTGACTGCCTGGACAAGTCCCTGCAGTTTTCTTGGCAAGATTTTAGGAAGTAGTTTACCATTGTGTACTTCCTAGGGCTTGACTGGACCAAGGTCACCCAACTGGCTTCATGCCTAAGGCAGGACTACAACTCATAGTCTCCTGTTTTCTAGCCTGGTGCCTTAACAATTACACCAGACTTGCTGTACAGGATTGAGTCTACCAAAGGCCAGATTTTCAAAAAAGCATTGCTTTAATTTGGTTAGTCCTACACTGCCAGATTAATTCTCAGGTACATAGCATTATTTTTTAATTATATATTTATATTTTTCAGACACCATACAAATCCTGTTGGCACAGAGTGGCGATGGAAGATGGACCAGCCAGAGATGATCTTGCAGGAAGCCATTGAAAACCATCAGAATTTGATCAAACAGTTCAAAGGTGGGTGAGGATCCTATGCATGTGATTTTTGTTTTAGTAATTGGATCTTGAATCTTTTAGTGACTGACATATGAGGGAAGAGAGCCTCTTTTAACTAAAAAAAAAAAACCTGAAGCTCTTTCTGTTACATCAGAGCTTCAGGTTTTTCTTTCATCCTAAGTACAAATGATTATATTGGTCCCGAGGCTGTTTTGTTTCTGGAAATTATAGTAGTACATATCTGTAAAATTCTTGGAAATATAATAGCAGCCCATTTGGAGGATATCAGATGGAAAGATACTGTAATAAGAAGAGGCATAAGCTTTTGCTGCTCTTCTTCCGTCAAAAGAATCTTGAATATGAATTTTAGTTGGGTTAACAGGGTTTGTTTATGGAAGTTGTAAAGTGTAAAGTGAGTGCCATAATCATTAAGCAAACATTGTAATCATTAAGCAAATCCATTGCTCCCAATGGGTGGGTTTTCTTAGAAAGCCAGAAATAACTGCCAATTTCGATCAAAAAAACATTGTAAATCTTGGTGATATGATTGTGGGATGCTGTAAATGGCTATAAATGTGGGCCGAGCATCCAAAATATTTGTCAAAATTAACAGAAAATCTGTAATGTATTTTGTTATCATGTTATGACATACACCATTAGATTCTTCTAAATCTTTCTTCTTTAATTGCAGTTTAATTTTTCTGTTTACTATTTCTACTCCAATGAAAAGAAATGTAGTTATTTAGTGTAACTAACTGATTTCTTAATACTTCTTTATGTATTCTTGGGGGAGGAGAGGAGCTCATGGGAGGAACTAAATGTTTGGGCCTGTTTGGGGACATTTAATGGTTCTTTAAGCATCTGAAAAGTTCAAGGCATTTAGATTATCCTGTAACTTCCAAATATCACCATAGAAAGGATTGAAAATGCTGTTCTACAGGTAGTCCTCGATTTACAACAATTCATTTAGTGACCATTTAAAGTTTTGATGGTACCGAAAAAAGTGACTTATGATCATTTTTGACACTTATGGCCAGTGGTGGTGAACCTATGGCACGGGTGCCAGAGGCGGCACTCAGAGCCCTCTCTGGGCACGCGCTCCGTCACCCCAGTCCTCGGCCTTCAACTGGGTTTTATAAAACCTTTTCCTTTTAGGCCCCCGCCACCGTGTGAAAAAAAAAAAAATTTCAATCCATCAGTCAATTTCAACTTCCTACAAAAAAAAAATCTTGCAAAGTTGGAATTGATTGAACTTTTTAGTCCCACCCAGTCTGCCATTACCACTGCAGCCATGCCCACCCAATGGGCCACACCCACCCAGCACCCAACGATGCATAAATGGGTTTTGGGTTGCAGTTTGGGCACTCGGTCTCTAAAAGGTTTGCCATCATTGCTTATGGCCATTGCAGCATCCCCGTTATCACATGAGCAAAATTCAGACTCCTGGCCACTGCTTCATATTTATCACGGTTGCAGTGTTCCAGGGTCACATGATCACCTGTTGTCAATGGGAAAACCACATTCACTTAATAATCATGTTACTAACTTAACAGCTGCAGTGATTAACTTAACAACTATGGCAATAAAGGTCATAAAATGGAACAAAATTCACAATAACTGCATCATTTAGCAACAGAAATTTGGGCTCAACTTGGTTGTAAGTATATTATTATCATTAATAGTAGTAGTAGTAATAATAATAATAATAATAATAATAATACAGTTGGAAGGGACCCTGGAGGTCATTTAGTCCAACTCCCTGCTCAGGCAGGAAACCCTATACCATTTTAGACAAATGGCTGTCCAGTCTCTTCTTAAAAATTCCAGTGTTGGAGCATTCACAATTTCTGGAGGCAGGTTGTTCCACTGATTAATTGTTCTAACTGTCAGGAAATTTCTCCTTAGTTCTAGGTTGCTTCTCTCTTTGTGATTAATTTCCATCCGTTGCTTCTTGTCCTGCCTTCAGGCGCTTTGGAGGATAGCTTGACTCCCTCTTCTTTGTGGCCACCCCTGAGATACTTGAACACTGCTATCATGTCACCCCTAGTCCTTCTCTTCATTAAACTAGACATACCCAATTCCAGCAACCGTTCCTTATATGTTTTAGGAATGGTTGCTGGAAGTGGGTATGTCTAGTTTAATGAAGAGAAGGACTAGGGGTGACATAATAGCAGTATTCCAGTATCTCAGGGGTGGCCACAAAGAAAAGGGAGTCAATCTATTCTCCAAAGTCGAAGACTACACATACTTCAAAGTCGAGGACTATATATGTTTTGTGACATGGAGTCACAAAAGGAGTGTAGAGAGTGGGAGATGGGTTGCCTGCAGTCTTCTGGCCCTGAATTATTCTACTGCTGCAAACTATTCTCACCATTCTGGTTGGAAATGATTTTATTCTCTTTTTAGGAGTCCCCGGCGTGAGAAATGATCGTTTCAGAGAAGGGATGGAAGCCAAGCATTGTGCACTGTCTCTTGTTGGGGAGCCAATCATGTACCCACAGATCAACCAGTTCCTAAAGCTGCTGCATCATCGCAACATTTCAAGTTTTTTGGTTACAAATGCACAGTTTCCAGAGGAAATTAGGTGATAATCCTGAGAAATTGTACCCCTTCCTTCCCATTTGTTGGTGCTGCAAAGAGATTGGATAGCCATTTGTCTGAAATCATATGAGGTTTCCTGCCGGAGCAGGGGGTTGGACTGGAAGAGATCTCCATGGTCTCTTCCAACTTTGTTATATTGTTACTTCAGCCTACAGTTGGGATAGTGTGCTGAGAGATTCATTGTGAAAAGTAGGCAGGCCAGAGATACAGTAATGGCTGGAGTTTGGACAATAACTGGCTCTGAATGAATTTAAAATTAAATTAACTTAATTAAATACAGTTGGTGTGATTATTTCCTTAGTTAATACTTTCTCCCATCTGTCTCTCTGAAAATTGTAAATTGAAAGTCGTGTTTGGAGAGACTGGAGCACAACAAGGATTTTGGAGGGTACATATGGCCTCAAAGTTTACGTTTTTAATTTAGTCTCTATCATGCTAGATGCCCAAGGTTAGATAAGAACAGCTTTGTATATCCACACTACCCACCCCACTTTGGACCTCAATGTCACACATGCTCTTGGAAATAATTTGAAATCCAGAGCAGCTGCCATCTAAAATATACTGAATTTTAGCTTTTTTTTTTTTCTAAAAAACTTGAGTAGCAATATTCCAGTTTTAGAGCTTTCACTGTTGCCTCACAAACAGGAACCTCCAGCCTGTCACACAGCTGTATGTCAGTGTGGATGCCAGCACCAAAGATAGTCTGAAGAAGATTGATAGACCTCTCTTTAAAGACTTTTGGCAGCGGTTTCTAGATAGCTTGCAAGCCTTAGCTGAAAAGGTATGGCATTAAACTTAAGTTTGGTTCTCCCTTGACACTGAAGTAATAGTGGGAAAGCTTGGGGTTCTTGTATGTGATCATAATGTCATTAAAACCTTTACAAATTACATTCTTTACGTCCAAAGTTCAGATTACAATGAACTGTCATAGTTAAAATAAATTGGCTTAGTGCTCTTTTCAGTTGAAAACCTGATGCTAAATTCAGCAACACTTCTGCTGAAATGTAGTCTTGCTCATATCCTTTTATTTGTATGCACTACTATTGCATGTTGTAATTGAAAACTGCTATCTCCCAATTTTTTTTAGCAACAGCGCACTGTATACAGATTAACACTGGTGAAAGCTTGGAATGTGGAGGAGCTGAAAGCTTATTCAGATTTGGTGTCTCTTGGCAAGCCAGATTTCATAGAAATTAAGGTGAGGTGTTGATTGATAGGGTGGGCCCTTCTTGCTTCCCACATTTGACCTTTCTTGTGAGTTCATTGTTTTTCAGAGAAATGTTTTATGTATGATAAATGACAAATTTGACTAGGCCTGATTCCAAATACTTCCACAAAACATTTTAGGGCAGATTTTGCTTTTCAGTCTATACCCTGCCCCTTTAATCTACATTCTACATGATTCAGTCTGTACCCTTCCCCCTTGTTTTACATTGTACATAACTAACTCTGAATTAAAAGGCTTTGCCAAGTAGCCTATGAATTCATGGTGGAGGAACATTAGCCCTCATGATAGAGAACATTCAGGGTCAGAGGCAGCACTACTCGCTGAGGACAGACTGTAAGGACCCACCCCACTTTGCATCTTAAGAAGACAGAACTCTTGGAATAATTCTTCCAACAGGAATCCTTTATTAAGAGAAAATGGTTGCAGGCATGCTAGACAGGACTTGGGGTTCAAGCTCTCCCATTCAAGGTTTTAAGGGGTTCCCCAGTAGTCCCACCCAATCAACCCCCCTTCCAGTGATAGTTTCAAGTATCACAATTCCACCCCCTTTCTTCTCTCTTCCGTCTGGATGGAGACTTCAGATAACTACATGAAAGGCAAATACCCTTCCTTGTTATGGTAATGTTCTTGGGTGCTAACACTTTGAGGTTACAATAAACATACATTCAGCATTCAGCTCTTTGAAGTGTACTGAAGGAAGTGAGGGCCATAAAGCCCCTTTGTTCTCCCCCTTCTCTCCCTCTTATGGCAGAATCCAGAGAAGGCAGAATTGGGGTTTTCTATGTTTGATAATTAAAGATGAAATATAATTGGATTCTGACACAGACAATGTGAAGATTAGTTACTTTCATGCCCTGCTTGTAAGGTTCTTGGGAATATCTGCTTGGACCTTTCAAGAATTCCAACTGAATCTGTGGAGACTGGATAGAAAAAGAGCAGGGCCAACCTGCTGATTCATTTTCTACCCAGTTTGAAGTCCTTCCTATATTGATCTGAAAAATCATTCTTAAGCCAGCATAATATTAAGATGTGATATTTTGATACAAGTAGTCTTCAACTTATGACTGTAATTGAGCCCCCAATTACGGTCATTAGTTGTGAAAGTCTTTAAACAGTTCACTTGGTTTTATGACTTCTTTTGTGATTGTTAAGTGAACATGGCGGTTGTAAAGCAAACCCATTGTTCACTGTAGGATGGGTTTTTTTTGCTGGAAATCAGAAGTAAATGCCTGTTTACAGCAACAACATAAATCGCAGTCACGTGACCGGGAGCCACTGCAAATGCCCATAAATGTGGGCCAATTGCTGACTTCCTAAAAGGTGGTCACATGACTATGGGAGGGAATGGCCAGCGTAACTTTGAATCCAGATCATAAGTTGCTTTTTTGGTGTCCTCATAACTTCAGTTACATAAGTCAAGGATTGCCCTCACTGCTCTTTACCTTTCCTTCTCCAGTTTTTTTTCCTTTATCATTTGCTTATAGACTGTAAGTCTGAGATGAGAAATAACTCTTTATATTGACCTGTAATTAATTAAAGAATGGGTGGATCCCTACAGGAATGTTGCTGTTAGTTGCGAAGTTGTGTCCGACCCATTGCAACCCCATGGACAACAGGCCTTCCTGTCCTCTACCATCTTCTGGAGTTCATTTAAGCTCACACCCACTGCTTCAGTGACTCCATTCAGTCACCTCATTCTGTTGCCCCCTTCTATTGTCCTCAATCTTTCCCAGCATTAGGCTCTTCTCCAGTGAGTCCTTCCTTCTCATTGAGTTTCAACTTCAGAATCTGCCCTACAGGAATAGAAATTGTGATTTTTTTTAAGTCTCTCATGCTGGAAGAGAGAGTTTAGGACTACATCTGACTTACGGGCTGTTTATGGTTGTTGCAGCCATCAGATTGCTGATCCCCGTTAGAAACAGCAGAGTCACCCACAAACATGTCCAATGTTGTTTTTCAAGGGCTCTAATCTTGTGGCTGCTTATGGCTGCTTTGTTCTGGTTATGCCTTAAGAATAATTCTACTTGTTCAGTAATTTGTAACATTACTGCACTAGATGCCAATATGTTCTTTTAGGGGAAAAAAAACCAAACCAATTTGAGTAAGGTCTAGGGCTCTAAACTTAAGAAAATGTTTCCTCAACAGGGTGTGACATACTGTGGGGAAAGCTCAGCCAGCAGTCTCACCATGGCCAATGTCCCTTGGCATGAAGAAGTGAAGCGTTTTGTGCAAGATCTGGCTGACCTCCTCCCAGACTATGAAATTGCCAGCGAACACGAGCACTCCAACTGTCTCCTCATTGCCCACAAAAAGGTAATTCTCAGCCTCTTTAGGTCATTTCCAAAACTTTTGGGTTAGGAAGATTTAAATATTCATTATTAGCACTGTAGGCTCATTTTCAGCTGCACAGATAGTCTCTGACTTACAACCATTTGTTTAGCAATCAATTCAAAGTTACAATGGCACCAGAAAAAATAATAATTTATGACTAGCTTTTGCACTTTATGACCAGTGCAACATCCACACAGTCATGTGATTAAAATTATGGTGTTTGACAATCAGCACGTATTTAGCAATAGCATTTAGACTTATATACTGCTTCACGGTGCTTTACAGCCCTCTCTAAACGATTTATAGAATCTGCATATTACCCCCAACAATCTGGGTCCTCATTTTACCAACCTCGGAAAGGAAGGAAGGCCAAGTGAACTTTGAGCCGGTCAGAATCAAACTGCAGGCAGTTGGCAGAGTCAGCCTGGAATACTGCTTTCTAACCACTGCACCACCATGGCTCTTAACATTTACAGTGTTTGCAGCATTCTGGGGTTCATTCGATCACCATTTGCAACCTTCCTGACCAGCTTTCAGCAAGCAAAGTCAATGGGGGAAGCCAGGTTCACTTTAACAACCGCATGATTCACTTAACAGCTTCAGTGATTTGCTTAACAGTTGTGGCAAGAAATATAGTAAATTCGGGTGTGATTCACTTAACAATCACTTTGTTTAGCAATGGAAATTCTGGTCTCAACTGTGGTCGTAAATTGAGGACTATCTAATGATCATGAAGGTGCTTTATGACTATTATAAACAATAAAAACAAACATTTTTAAAATAAGGATGCTAATGTTTTTGAGCCACAGGCCTCTTCAGGATTCAGGCCATGTTATTGGTTGCTGTAAAAAGTTGCTAAGGCTTTTCCAGTTTGCCACAGGCTGTCCTCTTTGGTGGGGCCAATCTCAAAATACTTATTTAACGGAAGGGCATTCTAGTCAGATGGTTTCATATTACTCTTTCTAGTCCCGCAGGATACTTTCTATCAGCTTAGCTTCTTCCATTTTTTTTTCTGGGTAAACAAACATATTTCTAGCAATGCTGACTGCCAGCATTTTTTTTTTAATCTAAGAAGGCCTGCCAGATCTGTGATTGATTGCTATTTGGAAAATCTAAATCCAAAGTTAAATGAGGCAAAGACCCTAGATATGTGGTCACAGTGACATCTTTGGATATTATGTGAGGGAGTCCAGCCTTCAAGTCACAACAAGTATAAATTTAACAATGGGAATTGCAAAAGTGAGGTAAAAGAGCAGTTAAAATAATAGGTATGTTATGAATATTTCAAAATTGGAAATCTAATCCATCCAAGAAAAATGTGTGATGCTCCTGTTCTCCAAATGAGAAGAGATTCCCAGTCTTTTGAGCCACTTCTGGATGTTCTTTGCTCCTTATCCATAACAATCAACCAGTGGAACAGCTTACCCCCAGAAATCGTGGGCGCTCCATCACTGGAAATTTTCAAGAAGAGACTGGACAATCACCTGTCTGGGATGGTATAGGTTCTCCTGCTTGAGCAGGGGGCTGGACTACAAGACCTCCAAGGTCCCTTCCAGCTCTATTCTATTCTAATCAAAAATCTCTGCTTGGTAGAGCAGACTGTACTAATTTGTAACATCTGAGCAAAGAGCAGAGTTAGGGAACTTGTATAGAATTGAGATGCATACTACTGATCTATGACCATTAAAAAGGTTAGATTTGATATACTTACTAGGATGTGGAAGTGGAGGGAAGTGGGAGAGATTAACTCACTAGAAGTCTTAGTATCCATAGGCATTGCTTTAAGGTTGTCCATTATACCTAAGAGACCCTCAGTAAATGTGGCTAGATCACACATCACACTAAAGAAATATTTAATTGTGTTTTTTTGAAGAAAAAAATGGCTGGGCTGACACTACTCCAAACAAGAAACAGTAATATTGTTCAGTACAGTCTTCTCCACTCTTTCTGTCTTCCAGATATGTGGATTTTAGCTCATAGAATTCTTGGCAATGGTCATTCTAACTGGGGAGTTCTGGGGATTAAAAACAAAAAACAACAATAACCCACCCCTCTGTATCACAATTATACATCTGCTTTTTCCTTTAGTTCAAGATTGAAGGGAAATGGCATACCTGGATTGACTACGATCGCTTTCAAGAATTGGTCCATGAATATGAACAGAGTGGAGGAATTAAAACATTCACTTCTTCTGACTATGTAGCATTGACTCCTCCTTGGGCAGTGTTTGGAGCTAAGGAAAGAGGTTTTGACCCAATGGATACAAGATTTCAACGAAAAAACAAAATAAAGGACATCTCCGGATGCTGACAACTTTAAAATTGGACTATTTTTGAGCCAGCTAGGATATAACCAGAATTTTTGGTTTGTACACTAACATCAAAAAGTGTTGCATAAAAGTTGAGATTTCCATTTCTCTTGGGGCTATCCAAAATGTTTTTTTTCTTTCTTTCTTATTCTACCCAAAGGAAAATAGTAAATTATATGCTTTTTAAAAGGCAGGTAGATGCTATTAATTTATTCTTCTCAAATCTCTCAGTGAGAGATACTGTAGTCCTTGACTTATGATCATAACTGAACCAGGAATTACATCTGTCATAACTTTGAACTGCCTCTAAGAAACTGATTGAGAACTACCTGTAATTTCAGTTTCCACCCATATGCATCCTCCTTATTTTTCCATTTCTCATTCTAATCCAGGAGTGGACAGCTGTGCCCTTTCAGCGCTACAATTTTTGCAGTCCTCACAGCACCCAGAATGGGCATGGCCCACATTTTGTAATCTGTTTTTGTCTATTCACGTGGCATGATCATCTGTGCCCCCTTCAAGCCACCCAAAATAAAAAAATGCACCCCATTTTCCTAATTAAGGGTTCCCTTGCGATCAGCGATATATCTTGAGTTATATCTGTGGACTCCAGACATAAAACTATTTTATTTTTTTCCGTAAATGTACCTGAAGATTGTTAAGTCACGCAAAACTCGAATGTGAAGGGATTTTCCCGTTTCTTTGGATATCTGTTGCAACAGTCCTTATGTGCTGTGCACCTGGCATGAATTGACCATCTAAAAATGTTTGAAAAGAGCTGTAGCCACTGTGGCCCAATGGTGTGTGTGGGCAATCTATATTAAATTGAAATACACCTCTCATTTTGCTAGAAATTTAGCTACAATAAATTAAAAACAAAAAGTATCCTATCTCTTGGTGTGTGAATATTTTTGCTCTCATCTGTGAATGCAGCAATCTAGGATTAAAACCTGTATCTATATATTTTTCAGTGTTTCTCATGGATCCATTAATGTGGTGTTAAATACTGGATTGCTTTGTTAAAATTATTATTCTTTTCCTTAACAGTTTCTGCCCTAATTAGTATTTTTTAAATTTATATATACTTTGATACCCGCTTTAAAAAAAGGTTTTAAAATTTTGAAAGCAAACAAAATAAAAATCTAAATTTCATACCTACCTTTGTGACTCTCAAGTAAAATGACAATCTATTTTATTATTTTTTGTATTATTTATGGAATGGTGGCAGCACATGGAATAATTTAGATTGACAAGGGTTCTGCCTAAGGTTACATATAGTCTGTCTATATGACACTGCACCAAGTGGAAGATCAAACACGTTCCTGACAAACCTAGCAGACAACTTTGTCTCCCCAAAAGTAGAGAAGGGAACTAGGGGATCAGCCATATTGGATTTAATTCTCACTAACGGAGATGAAATGATAGAAGGTGTTGAAGTACAGGAACCTTGGGGGGGGGGTGGAGTGATCATACAATATTGGAATTCAACATTATGGAAGCACAAACAATAGAACAAAGTCAAACTAGAGTCTTGGACTTTAAGACAGCTAATTTCAATGAACTTAGAGCTTGGAAAGGATTCCATGGATGAGAATCCTCAAGGGGAAAACAACTCAAGAAGCTTCCAACTGTTATTCTGTTAAAAGGAGTTATGTTTTTGGCAATGATACCTAAGATTATGGGTGTTATAACCAATACTTGGAAAGGTCACCGGATGAGAGGATACCTGCACTAAATGCTCACAAATAAGCTTTTGACTCTTTTGTTTAACTTTGATGCTGCTAATGTCATCTACTGTAGCTATATAGAAAAACAAAAGCCCAATCTGGTATAATTCATCCTTCAGTAATTGCCTCCCTTATAGCAGCTGGCCAACACTGCTTTCCCACAAAGGATAGCAGCTGGCCAATGGTGCTTTCCCACAAAGAAGGAAATAGAAGGAATTTTTAGCTGCTCTTTTACCTTATGCTTTTTCCTCATTTGTTTTTTGTGATTACTATTCAGCCCAGTTTGAATTTGTCATTTTAAAGAATTATCATGAAATATTTTATTTGGTGGTTATAGTTTAAGATAAGATGATAGGGTAAGCTTTACTGTCACTTTTTTCCGTGAACACAATGACACACATTAAAAATGAAATTCTGATGCTCACTCTCTCTCTCTCTCTCTCTCTATATATATATATACCCATACATGTGATATATATGCATATATACACATATATGTACACACACACACACACATACATACATATATATATCACAATGTAACATCCTACTTTGTGCCTATCCAATTCCTACTCTAGCTATTATCGTATTTAATGAGAATGTAAGGTATAGTCCAGGATCTTGGTAATTAGAAGACAAACTTTTGAAAATGCGTTTATTAAATTTCTGTATTTCTCATCTCACCTAAGTGACTGGGTAGTTTACAACATCGCAATAACTTTGCAATAACATTTCTTTACCAAAGTCAAACTAGAGTGGGTTGGTGCTATACTTCTATATTATGTCTCTTAATATTCCCATAACAAACACTGTGAACTTCCTATTCTATATTAAACATTGCTGAACTCTCATTGGCCTGCTTTTCATTAAAATGATAGCTGCCTCTTAGAGATTCCTCGTTAGGTGGCCTTTATTGCCTTAGAGCCTGCTACATATCATACCCAGCAAGGAAAAAAATCTCAAAACAAGAATAGTACAGTACTGGCTTAATATAATAAACAGTGTTTCTCAATGTGGGCAACTTTTAAGATCTGTGGACTTCAATTACCAGAATTCCTTAGTCAACTTGCATATCAAATCAATGCAATTAACCTGTTACTATCCTATTTCTTAGGGCACAATCCAAGCGTTGCGATTGCCTGGGATCAGATAGCTTAGCAAAGTAACATTAACACAACTTTGGGGAGCTATTGTTGGATCCTGGGCCCCAGATGATACCTAAAAACCTTGCATAGCCTGAGCTTTTGTTGTTTTCTGAATTTCCATTTTACACAAAGTCCCTCATATCAGTCTATTTCTGAACACATTTGATCTGCCCACCCCACCCACTACGATGGTTGGGACCCGCAGACTGTCCTAAAGGCCCCATTCTACTTTCCTTTAGAAATTCAGGGAAAAACGCCTTACTTTCTTACAAAACTTGATGAGAAGGGGTTTTAACGGAGAACAGACTGGATTTGGCTTTTTAAATATAACCAATTATTATTTCATAGCAACGATCGACGTTAGCTGTTTAGAGTCTGTTGAATCAGAGAGCAGCAATACACGTGTCTGTAAAATAACAAAGGCCAACTTTAAGATCGTTTAAACTTATATCCTGCCTAATTTCTGCTACTCCGAAGTCTCCGATAAAGCCTGCTGCTCCTTTGGGCGCACAAGCAAGCATTTGAAAAGCAACGCAGATGGAGACGGGTGGTATAAGATTCCCAGCGGGCGCGGAGCAACGTTCCCATCTACATCCACTTACTTCCTCCTCCCACTCTTTCCCGTGCAATCGGGGAAGGGGAGGAGGAAGAGAAGGAGGAGCGCTAGACGCCAGCCAATCCGGTGGGTGCGAAAGAGCCAGCGCCTCATTTGAAATCTTGCAAGAGAAGAAAGCTGGCCGAAGGCAGGGGTGGCATAGCTAAATAACAAGCGGTGCAGGTGAGTTGGAGTGAAGGGAAGAAAGGCGAGATTGGCCTTTTCCCGTCCTATTAGCTCCATTATAATTGTAGTAGTGATTAGATTGATTTGTGGTGATGGAAAAGACTCTTGGAGAGTCCCTTGGACTGCAAAGAGATCAAATCAGCCAGTCTTAAAGTAAATCAATCCTAACTGTTCTTTGGAAGGAGGACAGATACTGAAGCTGAAGCTCAAATACTTTGGCCACCTAATGAGAAGAGGGGACTCTCTGGAAAAGATCCTGATGTTGGGAAAAACAAAGCAAAAGGAGAAGAGGACAGCAGAGGATGAGATGGTTAGAAGTGTCATCAATGCAATAAACATGAATTGGGATAAACTCCTGGAGAAAGTGGAGGGGGGGGGGCTGGCGTGCTATCGTCCATGGGGCCACAAAGAGTCAGACACAATTTAGTGACTGAACAAGAAGTGATTAGCCAAATCCTTGATGATGTTTTTAATCTTTGCAGGGATGCAGAGATGTTTGCTTTTGCTTCAATACATAATGCCAGGATGGGGGTAAAGGTCTCTGTGTGTTTATCAGTCCCAGAGCCCACCCAATGCTGATTTGGGCCTAGAGATTGGTTTCTCAGCTAGTTACTATGACTAAGGGAAAACTAGAAGCTGAAGTCTCCCTGTTACTATTCTAGCACTTAATCATAACTTCCTGCTGGTTCTCACGTCCATAATAATTTTATCTGATTTATTTATGCAATGTATTGCTTGTCCCCAAGGGATTGATGCATTATATCTCCTGCTTTGCATTTCTCACCATTGACATCATAAACTTTTTTTATACACACCCTTTTACTGACCTATGGCAACCTCTTTGGTTTGGCATTTAAAGGGAGGAAACCAAAAGCAAATATCCTTTTCTGGAATCTTGAATCAATCAGGAAATAACTTAGAAAAATAGCAGATTTCCCACAAATTCTATACTGGGTGGTGGTGGGTGGATAACCTTGATCAGGTATACTCTAGTTCAGTGGTTCTCAACGTTTGTGTGACGGCGACCCCCGTCACACAAACATTATGCGCATGCGCGGCGGTGCCCCCATGCGCGGCGCCCATGCGCGGCGGCACCCCCTGAGGGGAGAAAATGGCGGATCGCCGCCTTTGGCGACCCCCGAAAAATGGTCGATCGACCCCAAATGGGGTCGCGACCCATAGGTTAAGAACCGCTGCTCTAGTTGATAAATAACTGTTGTTAATAGGAAAGAATATTTGTAGCTCAGTTGTAACATGCAGCTGAAACCCTGTTCTGGGGAGTAAACCTTTTGGGGTCTTTAGTGCTGAGTTTCGTTTTTTTATTTTTTTGCAGATGTTTCATTACCCAACTAAGCTACCTAGTTGAATAATGACATTTCTGCAAGAAAACAATCAATTATGATTATTATATTGAACTTTGGACAAACCTGGGATCATAAAGTCAGAATATTTTCAAATTAAAGAATTTAGAACTGGCACGTTTGAAAAATTGCTGCTTGTCTTAATGATATTTATCTCAGTGTTTTGCACAAATCAGTGCTGATTATTCTCCCTATAGTCAACAGGTTAAATTTTCCAAGTGGTAGCCCTTCACATACTTTAAGGTTCTGGGTTTCTTTATTTAAATATCTTTTAATAATAAAAAAAATCAGAAGTAGGATCCTAGCCTGCAGCAAAATCAATCAGAGCCTTGAGCATTAAGTTTATTTCTAAGAATCTCCATCAAGAGCCAGTTTGGTGAAGGTGCTGGGCTAGAAACCAGGAACCTGTGAGTTACAGGCTTCCCTTTGACTCGAAAGCTACTGGGTAACTTTGGGCCAGTCCCTCTTTCTTGGCCCAAGCCATCTCACATGGTTGTTCTGGGGAAAAATGGAGGAGGAAGGAATATTATTTCCTTGAGATCTCTCTCTCTCTCTCTCTCTCTCTCTCTCTCTCTCTCTCTCTCTCTCTCTCTCTCTCTCTCTCTCTCTCACACACACACACACACACACACACACACACACACACACACACACACACGATAGAGTAAAAATATTAATAAGCCCTAGAGAATATTTAGGAAAAATAAATCTTGGGTGGTTGTTGAGATGTTGAGGGAATACATTGGAGGATAGTGGATAAAGAGGATAGTGGAAAGCAATCTCAATTTCTTTCTAATTAAGGATTGACTACTGACTGATCACTCTTTAAGACAACCCTTTTGCAGGCATGTCACTGACAGGTTAAATGTCCCTATTATCCAGAAAGGTAGACAGTTCTTTGTAGGGGATTGCTCAGCATCTATCAAATAACGTTAACAACACTAGCAACAAGAAGTATTCTTTCCCCCCATGTTGTGAACTTGTGGACTAGAAATTTCAGTGGGCATTTTTTTTTCTTTTAAGGTTTTTGAAGAATCCAGCCCTGGGGAAGGATGGCATCTGTGTTCCAAACTATGGGATCAAGCATCGGCTGGCGGAGCCATCAAATCCTGTCTGACTCTGAGGAAAGTCCCATGCCAGATCGATTCAGGAAAAGATCTTCTCTGAACATAAATAGTGTACGGATGTCCCTCCGGAAGAGAATGCCTTTAAAAGAAGTCAAAATGAATTTTGATGAAAATCCAACTTGGGAGAGCCTGGAAGCTAAGGAGAAAAGCTCAAACCTCCGGATGCTTACAAGAACGGCCAAAAATGTATTTGGAACGATGTCACAGGTACAGACAGAGTGTGATTCATGAGAAACTAATGAATTAAGCAGATATGCATCTATGGTCTAGAAAGCTGATTGAACTTTGTTTTGAAATTCTCAGATTTTTTTTTTTTATTGAATTTTTTTTCAGAAATTTTACAGATAAACATCCACCCCCCCCTCCCAAACCACCCCACCCTCCCCCCCCGACTTCCCAGAAGTGAATATAGGATTATTTAACAAATTTTAAAAATAACGTTTACAATTTATAAAATAATTAATAATAATAATAAAAATCGTAATCATAATATATATAATAATAATATACATAACATAAACTTTAAAGTGAATAATATATACTAAAAAAAAAAAAAGAAAAAAAAGAGGAAAAAAGGAAAAAGAAAAGAGAGAGAGAAAGAAAAAAAGAAAAAGGTAAACGAAAAATAAAACATATATAAAAAAGTATATGAATAATAATACATAAAGCGTAAAAAAAAAAGAAGAAAGAAAGAAAAAAAAAACAATCATTACAAGTTATAGAAAAGCTAAATAATATTTTTCCATATCCAAATTATGTTGTATAAAATTTATCTATTTTTCCCATACCGCAAAAAATTTCTCTTGAGATTGCTCCTTTAAAAAAGCCGAAATCTTTGCCATTTCTGCCAAATACGAAACTTTATAAAACCACTCTTGTAAGGTAGGCAAGGATTCCTTCTTCCAATATTGTCCTATTAACAGCCTAGCGGCTGTGATCAAATTTAACATCAATATAACCTCCTTAGCATCACAATCAATAACGATACCTAATAAAAATAATTGCGGAGTAAATTTTACCCTCTTTCTAAAAATTCTTTGAATATTCCACCATATCTTAATCCAAAAAGCTTTTATATGCTTACACGTCCACCAGATATGATAATAAGTAGCATCCAAGTATCCACATCTCCAGCATTTCGGCTGTAAATTAGGGTACATAATGGACATTTTCTTTGGATCAAGGTGCCATCTATAAAACATCTTATAAAAATTCTCTCTTAAATTTTGCGCTTGTGTGAATTTAACATTTCTTATCCAAATAAGTTCCCAAGTATCCATTGAAATCGATTCACCAATATTCTGTGCCCATTTAATCATACAATCTTTAACTAATTCAGATTCTGAATCCAATTCCACTAAAACCCCATAAACTCTCTTTATATGGGTTGGCCTTTGATCTCTTACTTGTTTTAGAAGAATTTCATCTTCTCTGAGCCAGCCCATTTTACAATCCATCTTCCATCTATCCACTATTTGTCTATATTGGAACCATGAATAAATTAGATTTTCATGTGTTAATTCTTCCAAAGATTTTAACTGCCAGTCTTGGCCATCCCATCTAAGTAACTGTGCATAAGAGACCATATCCATATTAACCCCTTTCCTTATGCCTTCTATGGCATGCCGAGGTATAGCCCATAATGGTATTTTGAAATCACATTTATAATACTTCCTCCACACTCTAAGCAAAGAGATTCTTATAATATGAGACTTAAAAACCCAATCCACTTTTTTATTAAATATTAAATAGGCATGCCATCCAAAAAGTAAGTCCCAACCTTCCAAATGAAGTATTTCTATATTTGTTAAATTCACCCAATCGCTGATCAATGTTAATACTACAGCATCATAATACAATTTCATATTTGGTACCTTAAGTCCGCCTCTCTCACGGAAATCTTGCATTATTTTAAGTTTCACCCTTGGTTTTTTCCCTGCCCAAACAAATTTATTAATACCTTTTTGCCATTCATCTAAATTACGTTCACTCTTTAAAATAGGTAACATTTGAAACAGAAAAATAAACTTTGGCAGGACATTCATTTTAATAACTGCAATTCTACCCATAAGGGATAACTGTAAATTGTTCCAATTTTTTAAATCCTTCTGTACCTCCGTCCACAGCTTTTCATAATTATTTTTATACAATTTTGCATTGGAAGCAGATAATATAACCCCCAAATATTTTACCTTATCAACAATTTCAAAGTCTGTTAACTTAACTAGAACCTGTTTATCACCATTAGTCATATTTTTAGCTAATATTTTAGTCTTATTATTATTAATTTTAAAACCAGAAACACGTCCATATTGTTGGATCAATTGTAATAATTTTACCACCGAACAAGTAGGTTGAGACAAAGTAACAACCAAGTCATCTGCAAAGGCTCTTAATTTATATTCTTTTTTATTAATTTCTATTCCTTTTATTTCTTGAGACTCCCGAATTTTAATCAACAAAATTTCCAATGTTAAAACGAACAATAACGGAGATAACGGGCATCCCTGTCTTGTACCTTTTTCTATTACAAAAGCCTCTGACAAACCCCCATTTACAATAAGTTGAGCAGTCTGTTTTTGATATATATTAGATAATACTTGTAATATATTTTGTCCAAAATTCATCTCCTTAATTAAACATAACATAAACTGCCAATTCACTTGGTCAAAGGCTTTTTCAGCATCCAAAAATATCAGGCCTGCAGAGACTTGGTTATTCTTTTCTAAATACTCTAATAAGTTAATGATTTGTCTGACATTATTTTTCATATACCTTCCAGTTATAAAACCCGATTGATCCTTATGTATAAGCTGCTGCAAGATCCCCATAAGCCTGTTGGCTAAAATTTTTGCAAAAATTTTATAATCCACATTTAAAAGAGATATAGGCCTATAATTTTTAGGCAATGTAAGATCTTGATTGTCTTTTGGAATCAGTGATATAAATGCATTACGCCAAGATGGAGGGATCTCTAACCCCTGTAATAAGTTATTAAACAATTCACACAACGGTTGAGTCATCTCTTCTACTAGAGTTTTATAATAAATAGATGTCAACCCATCCGTACCCGGCGCTTTGCCCAATTTCAATTGTTTAATAGCTGTAACAATTTCTTCCTTAGTAATTAAACCATTAATCTCTTTTTCCTGATCTTCTGTTAATTTAGAAAAATTAACTTTACCTAAATAATTGTTTATATCTGTAGTTTGAATATTAGTACTCTTGTATAATTTTTGGTAGTATTCTAAAAAAGATTTCTTAATCAATTCTTTCTGATAAACCAATTTACCATTATAATTTATTTTATCTATATTCCTCTGTTTCTGTTTCTTTCTTAACTGATAAGCCAACCATCTCCCTGGTTTATTAGCGTTACAAAATATATTTTGTTTCATAAATAGCAAATTGGTTGCAGCTTGATCAGCCATCAACATGTTAAATTGTGTTTTTAACAGTTTTATAGCTCCTTTCACCTTTTCATCTAAAGGATTTGAAATTAGGAGTTTCTCTTTTAATTTAATCTCCTCTTCTAAATCTTTACGTTTCTGAATCTGTTTCTGTCTATGCAAGTTATTCATTTTTATCAAAATACCACGCATAAAAGCTTTACTTGCATCCCACACCATTGACATTGATGTTCCCTTATTCATATTTAAAGCAAAATATTCCTTTAAACATTCCTTTAGTTTATGAACATTTTTTTCTTGTTTAAATAAATTCTCATTCACCCTCCAGGATCTCCTGTCTTCTTTCTCAGCAAACAGTTCCATCCAAACTGGACTATGATCAGACAATGTCCTAGGAAAAATTTTTACATTCTTCACCCTGTTGTATAAATCTGTTGTGATAAAAAAAAAATCAATTCTTGAGAAAGATTGGTGTCTATCTGAGAAGAAGGTAAAGTCCCTTTCTTCTTGGTTACGTTCACGCCAATAGTCTCTCAATTCCCAATCTTCTTTCATGTCAAAGAAGGCTTTAGGTAGTTTAGCCTGTTTAAAAAAAGTAGAAGAGCCTTTTTTGTCCTTTTATATATCTAAGACACCATTCCAGTCTCCCATTAAAATCACAGATCTATAATCCAACAAGGTTATTTTCTGATGTAGCAACCTGTAGAATTGCTCCTGTTGCTGGTTTGGTGCATACAGCCCCACAATAAGAATTTTCTTGCCATATAAACCAAGTTCAAGCATAACATATCTTCCATGAGGATCTGATTCTAACAGGATAGCAGATAAATTCTGCTTAACATAAATTACCACACCCCCTTTTTTCCCAGGGGCGGGAGATACAAAATGAGATCCCAAACGAGGATTGTTTAAGTATTTTTGGTCTTTAGATGTAATATGAGTTTCTTGCAAGCAGATAATATCATTGTTGTGTTGCTTTAAATAATGGTAGATTTTTTTTCTCTTTTGAGGAATATTTAATCCATTAACATTCCAGGTCAGGAGCTTTGCCATCTCCCTTGGCCTTGAGCCTGGAGAAGATCCCCTCAAATTCTGCTACTGAAGAGTATGTTGCAGAGCTTTTGGGTCTTGCTCCTCCCACCGGCATTGAGACAATTTGCTGAGTAGATTCTTTAATTTCTTTTTCTTTTTTCTGTTGTTCTTTTTCTTTACGTTTATGTGCTGCACGGGTCATTCTCTGTTCTTTAACCTCTGCTTGAGACATCCATACCACCTGTCCAGCAGTCGTCGCACCTGTACCTTCAGGTTTCTGTTCCATCTCTTTATCACTCAGGACTTTGTACATCATGGGCAAAGGTGAGCCTGCACCCAGGACCGTTTTGTAAAATTCCTTAGCTTTAACAACTGTGTTAAGTCTATAACGTGTCCCCGCATGGCTCAAAACAATACCCATCGGAATCTCCCATCTAAATGGCATCAGTCTTGCTTTAAGTTCATTTGCTAGAAAAGCAAAATCTTTTCTGCTTCTTAAAATTTTAGGTGGAATTTCCTTTAAAATAATAATATCTTGGGCAGCAATCTGAAATCTTTTATTGTAAAAAATTTGCAGAATCTGATTTCTCAAAGACTTCTTAGCAAAATATATCACCACATCTCTAGACAGATTCTTCTGTTTTGCAATCCAAGAATTAACTCTATAAATTCTTTCCACTTCCCCACGTAACTCATCTTTATCTATATTCAAAATAACAGCCAAGTCATTAATCACCATTTCCATCAAGTCTTGGGTTTTATCTTCTTTCAGGCCTCTTATTCTCAAAGCATATTCCATCTGTCTATACTGGAACATGAGAATATCATCTTGTGAAGTTTCCATTTTTTTCTGCATATCTTGGAATTTATAATCCAAAAGTTCTACTGTTTCTTCAATTTCCTCCACTCTAGAATCCAGCTTCACGACCACTGAGGCCACTCCAGATAAAGCTAAAAGTATGTCATCCCTCAAAATAGTATTATTTTGTTCTAAAAGCTCCTTCATCTCTTTCTTCATTTCTTCCTTGCTTTCAGATTTATTCTGTTCCAAAAGTTGCTTCATTTCCTCCCTGAACTGTGATACAGCATTTACCATTATTTCTTTAATGTCTTGTGCTGATGTGCCAGATGGGGGAGGTGAAGGTGGAGTAGTTTTAGGTTGCTGCACTGAGAGTATTATTTTAAGTTGTTGTTGCACAGTAGAAGTAGCAGGAGAAGAAGTTACCTTAAGAGCTGTAGTAGCTGGTTGCCATTTTGAAGCCATTTTAATTTATCTTTCTTTCTTCATAAAAATACCAATAGAAAATAAAAAATCCAAAAAATTAAAAATAAGGTAAAATAGAATAAAATAGAATCAATTTAAAAACTCCCAAAAAATAATAAAAAAATAAATAAAAAGGAAAGCAGTATTAAGCAACAGTTCAGCCAGTCCGTCTTTCAAAGGAAAAAAAAACTTTCAAAACGCCATTTTACTTTCACTCTCACTTTTCCGCCCGCGAGAAAAAAAAGGAAAGCTCAAAAAATAAAAAAAAAATCAGCACATACTAAATAAACTAAGTAAACTAAAAAAAAAATAAAATAAAGCTAAACTATAAATAAAATCCTTTAAACAGTTCTGTCCGGTTTAAAATTACTCACGGTTACTTTAAATACGGAGATGGTAGCGGCGTTTCGCTTTGTTTCCGAAGAAACAAAGACAGCTGAGAGGCGGAGAAGGCAATGAACTCCGAGGGAGCACTCTTTCTACCCCCCTAAAATAAAAATCCAGGGAAGGTTAAGAGGTTCTACCTCTATTCATGCGATCTCTACCCCTTCCCTTCGCCCGGGAAGAGGATTGCGAGCCGCGGGCCAGCTGATGAACGCTGTGCTCCGCGGATCTGACACCGTCTCAGGAGGACGGCTACAAAGTAGCCGCCATCTCCACCGCCTTAACCACCGAAATTCTCAGATATTAACATGTTTTTGCTCATTAAGGTATCTTTTGATGGGAAATATTTTTTTTAAACAAAACCAAAATAGAGGTACAACTGATAGGGAATTTTGAATGGAAAGGCATTATGGCTTTCTGAATTAAAAGTAGCAGCTGGTACAGATACTCTTCGTAATCCATTCCCCCAGGCCAAGGATAACCACAGCGAGCGAGTTTAAAAGATGGCATCCATAATCATGCAACTGAAGGCCTGTTCTGAGGAGTAAACCTCAGACTTACTCCCCAATGAGTGTGCTTAGAATGATTATAATTTTATTTATTTATTTATAAAACCCATACACTGCCCATTTGACCTAAGTGATTTTGATAAAATATAATTAAAAGTGATTATAATGATAATAGAAAGGGGAATGGTTTTTATGACCCGTGGATACATTTTGCACATTTTTGAAAACTTTTTCAGATTTCATCAAGCTGCTAGTTGCAATCTGGAGAATATCCCCATTATCTCCTAATGTCAGTAAAAACTGCCTTTGTGTTTCAGAAAATGCAAAGAAGCTGCCAAGCCCCCTCTCGTGCTTTGGCAGCTTCATTGGCCAAGGACCCCAGAGGCAAGAGCAGAAGTTCCACAAAACCTCCAAATCTCTCTCCCCGGACCCCTTGTCAAAACAAGAAACTGGCTTCCATCTCAACACCAACATCCAGCACAAGGATTGTATCTCCATCCAGCAAGAAGTCTGGGTCCTGTCAGCGTAAGAAAAACCTGCCTCTCCGGAGGTCCATGAGGGCTGCAGCCTTGAGAAGCCCATATGGTTCTCCAGTTTCTCTTGCTGTGAGAAGGTAAGTAGAACATTTGCTAAGCTAAGAGATAACATGAGTGAGCCACTTTCTCTTCCTGAGATGTTTTTTGATTCTCCAGGGCAGTCTAACTTGAGATTAGCATTAACTAGGTCTATCCTTGATTAAACTTTTCTGAGCTCAGACAAGGTTAGCTAGATGCTGTCACCTTGAATGATTTTTGCTAAGCTAGTTGCCTAATGATGAGAGAAAAGAAAAGAGTGTCTTCCCAATTTGCTACCAGCAAATCCCAGGTCCAGAGTCAACACATTTCTGCTACTCTGGCTTCTCAATGTAGATATTCCAAATTATGCTACTTTTGTTCCATTTAACCACAAAGGTTCATCTTGCCTGTGGAAATGCATTTTCTCCTTTGTTTATAGTCCCTTTTCCCACTCTCAGGCACTCAAGACAGCTGACAAGAACATGCAAAATAATCTATTCCAGTTTGAAATCCAGTTTTAAAATGTAAATAAATAACAGCTTTAACCTTTTTTTTAAAAAAAATAGCTGAATCCCTCCTGAAATCCAATGGCTATGCCGGTATTTTGTGATAATGTGGTCCGCCAATTAATCGTGAGGATATGTTTGGCAATATTGTTCTGTTCTGAAAAGAGGGGGAACGAACTGGAGACAGAAAAGTGCCATCCATTGGTGGGCCCAATTCACTCTTCACTTTTGCCGGTCTCTCTTTGTCATGGCAGGCAGCTGGATTGTGATTTGGAACTGGTCTCAACAGGCATTCGTCAACTGAAGCGCCTCTCTTATGCTTTCAACGACATCATTGTTCAAGAGGAGAGGTGAGTTCCAAAATGGTCTTACCATTCTCATCCCTCTGTCCATAATGGTGCCTGCAATCAGGCAATTGTTGGACTTCAGATAATTTTTTGTGTGGATAAGAGCATAGGCTAGAGTCTTTGTTGTGCCACCTCAAAACAGCAGGAAACCTTGGTGTCCATTCCCAAACACAAGGGACTCTAGGGGACAAATGATAGCTTTGGACAGGTTACCGACATCCTTGTTCTGACTTTGCAGGCATCTCTTATAATGCAGGCTTGGAAATCGGGGTGATCAAGCTTGCTGAAAAATCACACATTCCAGTTTCTTATCACCTTGAAATGGGAAAGATGAAAACTGTAGTATAAGCCTTAACATACAGGTAGTCCTCAACTTAGAACCATTTGTTTAATGACCGTTCAAAGTTACAGTGACACTGAAAAAAGTGACTTATGACCATTTTTCACATTTATGACTGTTGTGTGCCAAATTTTGATTCCATAGGACTCATAGATCCCAGATTTTGGATGCATTCTGTAAGTTAGCTTATTTTTGAAGTCTGCAGATCAATCCAAAATATGTCCTCCTTTGGTCCTATGAAACACTCATCAGCAACTGGCAAGTTCCGGACCAAATCTGCCTCTTTCATGAACTATTTGGATTCCAATTGCTGAGTCTGCAGTGTAAAAAGTGTACAGGTATTCCTCAACTTACAATCACAATTGAGACCAGAATTTTCATTGCTAAGAATGGCGGGTGTTGCACCCAATGTTATGACTTTGTTTGAATGGCTATTAAGTGAATCACTACAGTTAAGCAAATCATATGGTCATTAAGCAAATCTGGCATCTCCCATTGACTTTGCTTATTTGAAGCTGGCTGGGAAAGTTGCAAATGCAATCACATGATTCCAGGATGTGCGGATGATACCCAATTGTATATCTCCACCCCGTGTCCTTTCAGTGAAGCAGTCGACATGATGTGCCAGTGCCTGGAAGATGTGAGGGTCTGGATGGGGGTGAACAGGCTTAGACTCAACCCTGACAAGACCGAGTGGCTCTGGGTCTTGCCTCCCAAAGGTCAACCTGATGGTCCATCATTAGTCCTGGGGGGGTAAATTTACCTCCCACAGTGCAGGCACGCAACTTGGGTGTCCTCCTGGACTCACAGCTAAATTTGGAACAACATCTATTGGCTGTGGCCAGGGGGACCTTTGCCCAGGTTCGCCTGGTGCACCAGTTGCGGCCTTATTTGGACCGGGAGGCTTTACTCACGGTCACTCATGCCCTTGTCACCTCAAGACTGGATTACTGTAACGTGCTCTACATGGGGCTATCCTTGAAGAGCGTTCGGAGGCTGTAGTTGGTTCAGAACACAGCCGCGAGAGCGATTGTGGGCGCGCCAAGGTACGCCCACGTGTCACCTATCCTCCGTGAGCTGCACTGGCTTCCTGTGGGTCTCCGGACGCAATTCAAGGTGTTGGTTATCACCTTTAAAGCCCTTCATGGCATAGGACCAGGTTACTTACAGGACCGCATACTGCCGCACAGTTCCCAGAGACCGGTGAGGTCCCACAGATTGGGCCTCCTTCAGGTCCCGTCGGCCAGACAATGTCGGCCGGCGGGCCCTCGGGGAAGGGCCTTTTCTGTGGTAGCTCTGACCTGGTGGAATCAACTTCCCCCCGAGATTCGCACTACTCCCACCTTGCCGACCTTTAAGAAAGCCATTAAAACTCTCCTGTTCCGGCAGGCCTGGGGCTGATGTCCCCGGGGGGGGGGGCGGGATACGATCGGACATGCTGTATGAATATACTTATTTTACTGTTTTATCGTTATATTATTGTTTTAATTTTGTACGCCGCCCTGAATCCCTTGGGATTGGGCGGCATATAAATTTTAGAAATAAATAAATAAATGTTGTAACTCATAAATCCATGCTGGTTGTGAAGCGCCAGAATTTTGATCACTTGACCATAGAGATGTTGCAATTGTCGTAAGTGGGAGGACCGGTTATAAGTCACTATTTTCAGAGCTATTGTAACTTTAAGTCACAAATTGCAGTGCTTTTTTTCTTAAAAAAAAAAGGTGCCGGAACTCACACACGTCATACAACCCACCTTGCCTACCCTACAAGGTTCCATCCCAAAAAGGTGCCGGAACTCCATTCTGGGTGTTCTATGGGAAAAAAAGCCCTGACAAAATGAATGAATGGTTGTAAATCAGTTGTAAGTCGAGGACTACCTGTATAAGAGCAGTATTCCCAGTCTTGTGTTTTTAAGGACTGCTACTTGCTAACAGGGACCTAACTCTCATCTTGGTGGTCCCTTTGAAGTAGTTTGAATGTCATTATCATTTCAATTTATAAACCCTTTATTCCTAATGTTCTTCTCATCTACTAGTGATATGACAGTTGCTCTGATTTGTAACTGAAGATAAAAACCATCAAGGTAAAACTTGTCTCATTTTTTGTCTGATCTACTTGGAATTCATTAACACACACACAGATTGCCTGCATGGAACAACCCAGCTCTTTAACAGGTTAATATGCATGCAAAAGTTGTCTTATCTCTTGTTATCTGTGATAGTACAACTACAGTAGAAACAAAATGTGACCAGAGTCCCTTCAATTGTGTTGAAAAACAACATAGGGTCTTACTAATTTAGGGATGTTGGTTGAGTTCTTTGCCCACCACAGTATTGCCCTCCAAATTGCAAAATGTGGCAACTCTTGCTCTCTTTTCCCAGATGTTCTACTTCTAACTGTTGGCGTTTTCTAGAGTGTTGCGCAAAGAGAGGGAAATAAAAGTCTTGTCCATCTCTGATTCCTTGACTGTCTTAACTTTTCCCATATGAATAGTGGGTTTTCTTGAAATTTGGACAAGCTTCCTTGCCATTAATGATGTTTACAGGGCAGTCAGCCCCAACCTGGTACCTGCTAGATACTGTATCTGGATTTTACTTACATAATTCTCTAATAAACACAGCTAGAAATTGCTTCTTGAGCACAACAGATTGGAGAATACCTTTTTAGGTTATGATTTTGCATCATGTTAAATCATATTTAGTTTGATCTTGCTACAGGAAGATCTGTGGTGTTATTTGCAAGAATATTATTAAACTGTGGAGAAATTTTAGAATTCTTTCCTAGCGTCTTATGAAATTTCAGTGCATGTTTAAAATATGTATACCATATTTTTCTGTCTGTAAGACGTACCCTTGTATAAGATGCTCTGGCAGGCGAGTTTCTCTGCACCGATCAGCTGTTCGGCGGAGTGCCGAACAGTTGAGATGGCAAATCCGGAAGTTTGGCTGGCCGATGATCTTGCCCCCTCCCCCCTCCTGTTAGTGGCAAGCCCACAGGGGCTTGACACCTCCACCAGGCGGCATGGGAACCCGCACAGGCATGTCCTGGGCTCCGGAGGTTACCATTATTTTTCCGTGTATAAGACGCTGCACTTGTTTAAGACACATCTGATTTTTGAACAGGGTGTTTGCAGGAAAAAAAATAGCGTCTTATACACGGAAAAATACGGTACTTTGAAATACTTAATTTTGGAATTCTTAGACACCTTTTAGAGATTTTGTGGATGCCCTGATAATGTTAACACCAGGTTTGTTAACTAAGCTGTCACTGCTGGTTTTGCACAATATACAGCTAAAAGAATATCAGATGCTAGATTAACATTATGGGTATTGGAAGAATCTTCAGTTAGGTTGACTGTTATAGTGCAGCTTGAAAACTGGATTTCAGCAGTTATTTTTTTCTGACACCCCTGATTTTATCTACTAACTCCACAGTGACTTGACTAACTCAAAATGAAGAGCATGATGTCAATGGTAGTTCTATGCTACCTCTCAATGTAACACTCTTTTCTGTATGTTGTTTCTCTAAATGTTATGTCTACTCAGAATAGAATTAAAGTAAATAATATGGTTGACCTTACAATAGAGTTGTAAGAGTTTGATAGAGTTTGGTATTTGATGCTAAAAACTGCGACCAGAAATATATAACCAGTTCAGATCAGTAAATGGATCTTGGTTCATGCCATTTCTGGATTTCCTGGTAATTTGCACTGAAAAAATCTCTATGCAATTTTAATGGATTACTGAGTTAATAACTTGAGTGCACTTAGATATTTGTCCAAACACAGAATGTTGTGTGAACATTCTTCACACAATAGGCTCTCAACATTTGTTGTTATTTATTATCTCAAGCTGAACACATATTATGACTGCATAGCAGCTAAACCACTGGATGGAGGGCATAGGTAGGATGGGACCGTGTCACATAAAATGTCTAAGTTTTACCCTTTTATCATTCAGTTATTTTTATACAAAGGATGAGACATGTCTATTTCATTGTTCAACAGAATCAATTTACAGATGAGATCCAAATTTCTAGAAATATTAGAATTTGGATCATAAGAATTCTAGAACAGTGTTTTTCAAACTTGGCAAGCAACATGCTGGCAGGGGAATTCTGGAAGTTGAAGTCCACATATCTTAAAGTTGCCCTGTTCAAAAAATGCTGTTCTAGAGCATTATCCTTATAAATTTGCTTTTCTAATGCCTTTTTACAAATGCTTCCTCCAGGCCAGACATGTCAAACTCAAGGCCTGATCCAGCCAGTAATATGTTTAGATCTGGCCTGCAAGCAGATTAGTAATAGGAGGTGATTGAGTTTGTAGTGTGCACGTGTGTGTGTTAGCTGAAGCGGGGGTAGCACCAGAGAGGCCTGGGGGAGAGTCAGCTGGAACTGGGGCTGGGGCTCTGCTGAGGCCCCGGGATTGGCATGCGTGGCTCCAGCTGATCAGGGCTTCTGGTGGCCTTGGGGATGATCAGCAGCCACAAGCAATCTTCAGGCAGAGAAATCAGCTGGAACTGCAATGTTGCCGGGGCTCTGCTGAGGCCCTGGGATTGACACATGCGGCTCCAGCTGATCAGGGCTTCTGGCGGCCTTGGGGGTGGCCGGCAGCCACACACGGGAAAGAGTGAGCCAGTGACTTGTCTGCCGTGGGGTTTTTCTGAGGAAGGAGAGGCAATGTATGTCCTGTGATGCTCTCTTGAGCAACATTCCTTGGTGATAACAGTTGTTTCTTCTTGTCTGCAGAGATCAGGCAATCCTAAACTATTATGAAATCATGGCACAGAACATTCGGACGATGCAATTGCAGTCTGGAAGCCTGGCTCACTGTTTTCGGAGGCAGGCAAGGAGAGTGCGGTGGACCTGCAGCAGCTGGGCTGAAAATCACTTCAGATAGTATTAATCTGGAAACATTTGAAGGATGGTCTTTTGTATGTGTTTTAATAAGCTTTTAAAATCCATATTGAATCCACTCCAAATAAGCTTGTATTGTAAACTGCTACCTTATAAGAGACCTCAAGGGTCCTTCTTATAGACTATGTATTCAAGTTTCTGCACTGAAATTAACTCTATTTATAACCTTAAGCCAAACTGAGGTTGCATTCTGGACTTTTTTTTCATTGTTACAGAGTCTTAACAACTTTACTCTTTAATCCATACCTTCTTTCAGCATCTTATTCTCATTATGCTGGGTTTAATGAGTTGTTGGAACTGTGTACTCTGAAAGAAAGAAAAAGTACAAAATGTAGTATGGAATTCAACTTTCTCAGAATATTTGATTTAACTAAAATAAAACACTAACATTCAGTTTCTTATGGCCAAAAAGATGTCTAGAAGATTATTGTAATATCTTTGGGCACTGGATATGTTGTTCAGAAGCCTCCAGATTCAAGATCAACTCCACACAGGTAGTCCTCGACTTATGACTACAATTGAGCCCAAAATTTCCATTGCTAAGCAAGTCAGTTGTTAAATCTGTTTTGTCTCATTTTATGACCTTTCTTGCTACATTTATTGAGTGATTCACTGCATTATTGTTAGTAACATGGTTTCCCCATTGAACTTTGCTTGTCAGAGGTTGCAAAAGGTGATCAAATGACCCCAGGACACTGCAACCATCGTAAATACATGCCAGTTGCCAGGCATCCGAATTTTGGTCACATGACCATAGGAGGTGCTTCAATCATCATGTGAAAAATGGTCAGGAGTCACTTTTTTCAGTGTCAATAAACAAATGGTTGAGAACTACACAATATCTGTGGGCAGCAGATTTTAAGAAGCCATCAGCGGAAAAGATACAAATTAGGGTTGACTAGTTTAGGAGGAACATCAAGATACTAAGCCAAGAATAGAGAATCATATGATGGCCCTTTTTAATACCTGGAAGGAAGTTACAAAGAAGGAAGTTTATTTTGTTCCCAATGGTAGCTGAGGAAAATCCCTCTCCTGAAGTTATTCTTTGCAAATAGACATAAATCCTTGGCAGCAATAAGTTGTAATTCTTCCATATGACAAGTATTTTTTTAAAAAAGGAAGATTAAAAACCAATACAAAGTATAAAAACAGAAATCAAAGAAAGGTAAAAGTTGAAGGAAAGTTAAAAAAGAAAAAGTTACAAAGACGGGGCTTCCAGTGTGTTTTACAGCATTTATAAGTTCAGTTATAAATTTATCTATGCTTATAATGCAACTTTTTCTATGTTTTCTGTCTAATCATCAAAACTAGAAATCACAAGTTCCTTTTTTGCCTCACAAAAAGTTTATAAGAGGTTTCAAATCAGCAACAAATGTTAGTCAATTTGGCCATCTTAGCAAGTTCCATCTTTACTAACAATTCCTCTATTGTGCATATTGCCAAATCTTTCTATAATCTCACTGTAGTTATCATATACAAAAACAAAGTTCCATAACTTCTTTCCAACTATTTATACACCAATCCCAACAGTAAAACACTGGTTTTTAATTGTATATTTAAAATGTTCTGAATCAGTGCATAGGTAGTTCTCAACTTACGATTAAAATTGGGACGAGAATTTCTGTTACTAAGCAAAGCAGTTGTTAAGTGAGTTGAGTTTGATTTTATGATTTTTGCCACGGTTGTTAAGCGATTCACTGCAGTTTAGTAAATTGTGTGGTCGTTAAGCAAATCTGTCTTCTTCCCCTGTTGACTTTGCTTGTCAGAAGCCAGCGGGGAAGTTCACAAATGGCAATCACATCATCAGGGATGCTGCAACCATTGTAAATATATGCTAGTTGCCAAGCACCCAAATGCTGGTCACGGGACTGCAGGGATGCTGTGATGGTCTATTAAGTGTAAGAACCACTTCTTCTTCTTTTTTGCTTTTTTCAGTGGTGTTGTAACTTTGAATGGTCCCTTAACAAGTGGTTGTAGGTCAGGAATTACCTGTATATTTCTGAATCCAGAATTTTCTAGCTTTTTTACACATTCACCAGACATATCCACCAAATTCTGGTAAAATGACTTCTGTCAAGGACCGGGGCATAAGAGTTCAATCAATCAGAATAGAGCTGGAAGGGACTTTGGAGGTCTTCTAGTTCAAACCCCCCCCCCTCTACTCAAGCAGGAAACTCTATACCAGGGTAGGCAACCTTGGTTCTTTTATGATTTGTGGACTTCAACTCCCAGAATTCCTGAGCCAGCCATGCTGAGGAGAAAGGGAGAGTTTCCAAGCTGAGCCATGCTGGCTCAGGAATTATGGGAGTTGAAGTCCACGAGTCATAAAAGAGCCAAGATTGCCTACCCTTGCCCTACACCAGTGGTTCTCAACCTGTGGGTCGGGACCCCATTTGGGGTCGAACGACCATTTCACGGGGGTCGCCAAACAATACAGTCTACCATTTTTTCCCCCTTTTCCTTAGCTGTGCTACTCCCTTTTATTCTATTGGCTTTTGAAAGCCAATAGAATAGACTCTCTTGAATAGAGTCTAATTCTATTGGCTTTCAAAAGCCAATAGGAATTGTCCAGGCTGTCTCTGCCCTGCTGAGCCTGCCAAAAGTCCCATTCTGCAAACAATGCTGCACCAGTTGAGTAGTCCTCAACTTACGACCGGTTGAGTAGTCCTCGACTTACGACCGGTTGGGGGGTACGTGAGCAAAAGAATGAAAGGGAAGAAGATTTTACCAAGCTAGAAAAATAGCCAGGATGCTTCCTTATACCTTATTTCTCATTAAGGAGGAATGATACGTTCCTATGACAGGTTCACACACTATTCAGTCATGGGTGCCAGCAGATATTTTGTGGTGCATGTTCTGCCTCTTTGGGACATCTGAAATCTCAACCTATAGCAGAGGTCCCCAACATTTTGGGCACCAGGGACCAGTTACATGGAGAGAGGTTTTTCCGCAGACCGAAGGGGGCGTGGTTTTGTGTGCTGCCTGCATCCTGCGGATGGGACTTTGCTTGTTTGGACTGTTTGCTGGCATGCCGTGGCCTGGTACAGACCAGGGGTTGGGGACCCCTGATCTATAGTATATTTAAAAGGCATGGAATTTGAATTGTGATGGTGTGATGTTGCATTTGTGGCTCTGTTGTCCTCAACCTCTCTCCCCTATGGAAATCACTGCTTTGAATATTTTTGATAGGAGCTTTCAATCATTTAATCAGGATAGCTGATCTTATCATTAATTAGTACAAATGTGAGCTAGTGAATTACTATGTGCATACTTTCAAGTTTTAAAATTATTTTGTTCTCAGTATGTAACTGCACTGGAAATAAAAAATCAACTTTTCTTTTGAAAATGATTAAGAGCTTATGAAGTTGTACCCTCCAAATGAGTAGGGATTACAGCTTCCAGAAGTCTTAAAATATGGCAATATCTAAAATCAGAGGAAGTAAAAATAAATATGAGCTGCCTTTCCCAGCATTGAACTGTGCTATGAAATTATGTGCAGGGTTTGAAATTTTGTAGTGTGGTCATATTGGGGAAGATCAAGTGACTTATCATTTTTCTTGCCTAAACAGGCCTGTTTATAGCCATGTGCCTATGAGCTTGCCTCCATCTTGTCCCAACATGTAACTGAGGCCAGCTTCACTTGTCCTTCTACCAATAAAAAAGTATCATTTTTCTCCTTACACCAACAACATTAATGAGCTGTCAGCTATAACAAAGCAAGGCTATGAGGTATACTTGAAAGGAGACCGGGAAGCCTGTAATTGTGGAGTTTGTCTGGCAAGAGTAAAGAATGCTTATTCACAGGGAATATGCACATGTAAAGCTTGTAACAATTCTTGATGGTTAGAAAGCTGATAAAGTAACAAAGAGTTAGGCATCTTGCAGCCCTCAGCTAAAAGTTAGAAATAGAGATGGCTTGGAGCAAATAGAACGTTCATTACATCAGGGGTCTCCAACCTTGGCAACTTTAAGACTTGTGGACTTCAACTTCCAGAATTCTGAGAGTTGAAATCCACAAGTCTTAAAAGTTGCCAAGGTTGGTGAGCCCTGTATTAGATAACACCTGAAGCACTTGTTAGCCAAGGCTTGGGAATGGATGGTTAGAGACCAATAGAATAATTGTTAGATTATTACTAAAATGTTTATTAGATGATATTTCTTATATGTCCCGCCTTATCCTGTCTTCTGCTTTTGTGGAAATGAATAAGCTTTTCTTAATTCTGTGGTTCAAGGTACCTAGGCATTTTGGCCAGGATCCTTTTCTTGGAGCGCTTCACTAAAAGAACACAAAAACCTGCACCTCGTGTCTGGTGTTCTTTATCGGCCTCAGCACCAGGCTCAGACCCAAACTGGGGACAACAACATTAGAACACCATCACCATGTATGAAATCAGTTAGGTTTGGTCACCCTGGAGGAAAGTTAGTGAGCACTGCAGAGAAGCAGAGGCAAAAGAAACAGTAATGGGGTTCTGAAAGTAGGAATAGCATTGTTCGTACCACAGGGAGTGTCTGTTGCTAAGCAACAGTTGTTAAGTGAGCGGCACCCCATTTGATGGCCTTTTTTGCTATAGTTGTTAAGTGAATCATGTGGTTAAGTGAATGTAACCTCCTCCATTGACTTTGCTTGTTGGAAACTGGCTAGGAAGATTGCAAATGATGATTACATGACGCCGAGACAGAGCAACTGTCCTAAATATATGCTAATTATGAAGTGACCAAAATCTGATCATGTGATCACGGGGAAGTTGCAAGGGTAGAGTGAGAACTGGTCATTCGTCACTTTTCCAGAGCCGTTGTAACTTTGAATGGTCACTAAATGAATGGCTGTAAGTTGAGGACCACTTGTAAACATACAGTACATTTTCTTATACAGGTAGTCCTTGACTTCTAACCATTCCTTTACTGACCATTGAAAGTTACGATGGTACTGGAAAAAGTGGTTTACAACCAGACCAATACTTGCCTTTACCAGGATCACAAGGTCCCCACAGTTATGTGATCAGAGGTCAAGTGGTTTGCAACCAGGATGCACTTGCTTTTTTAAAAAACAAATGCTTGCTAGAATTACCATGAAAGGAGTAGATTATTAATCAGAAATTTGTAATGAGTCTAAAGGCTGATAGAAGAAGCCACCTGAACATCATAAATTCAGACAAGTGAATTACATACAAATAAGAAAAGCACAAGTTGCTAGCTAACTGAAACCGCAAGTAGAGGAAACACAAAAACTGAGGATAAAGTTTAGAGTTTAAGGTAGCAAAGGTATAACTGCAAACAAATATAGAGATAATTATAAGAATTGAGCTTTGTTGATAGAAAATTATTTATTTTATTTTTATTTTTAAAATTTATAAGCCGCCCCACTCCCGAAGGACTCTGGGCGGCTAACAATAAAAAACACATAAAACATAACAAAACAACAGTACAAAGACAATCATCCAGGGGTTAGGTTTTATAAACCCCAGGCCTGCTGGAAAAACCAGGTCTTAAGTAGCTTACGGAAGACCAACAGAGTGGGAGCGGTCCTAATCTCCGGGGGGAGCTGATTCCAAAGCGTGGGCGCCATCACAGAGAAGGCCCTCCTCTGAGGCCCCCCAAATGGCACTGCTTGGCCGACGGGGCCTGAAGGAGGCCCAGCCTGTGGGATCTAACCAGACGTAGGGAACTATGAGGTAGTAGGCGGTCTCGCAAATAGCCTGGCCCTGAGCCATATAGGGCTTTAAAGGTAATGACCAACACCTTGAATTGGACCCGGAGACCAATAGGCAACCAGTGCAGCTCACGGAGGATAGGTGTAACATGGGTATATCGAGGAGCACCCACTATCACTCGCG